ATTGAACGTGTGGAATTGCCCTGCTTTGAATACCTCCAATTTAAGTATGCTATAATATAATATATGGCTCGAAAGTTGGGCTTTGGTAATTCGATCATTTCTTATACCGTGCTGAAGATGGCTGACGCTGACTGTCCACTGAAACATGCGATTTGTAATTTCGTTATCGCTTTTGCGTTTTGCTTTTCCGCTCCGCCAATTAGCTTGTTGGTTACATCACATCACAGCATAAAAGCTGCCAAACCGAAAAGTACGTCTTACGGATCCCGCAGCAATATCACCGACTTTTGGTAAGAGTAAAGAGTGCAAGCCCGAGAAATGCTCAAAACAGGTTTTACCCCATCCCACCGATCGACCCAATCCACTCCCATTACACGCTGAAAAAATTAGGTGTTCGGATTCACTTTGTGTGATCATAATTGCATTGTTGAAACTATAAACATAGCTCATGAAATAAATTTAATAAGTGTAAATTACATTTTTGAGGTGCATTTAATCTAATGATTGCAATACCCATAAAATATACTGATTAATACAAATTTTTAACAACGCATTAATAAAATAAAATGGAACTGGCTCCTATATTGTCTTTCTTTTCTATTAAAAAAGATGAATATCTAATTATTTTGATTTAAAATTTGTTAAATAACCAATATATTTAAACATCTTGTCTGCGACTGTCTCTTAATACTTGAAACGATGATTTGTGGTACTTGCCAAAGAAAAGTCAAGAGCAAGGTTTGTGCTTCAAATAACCCATTGTTTCTCACCGTGCACTTGCCCAATCCCACCCCATGACCGTGCACATTGGCAATATTGGTTTGCTTTGGCTCAGTTTCGAATTTCGAACGAATACGATTACGATTGACAAACTGGCGAATTTACGACTTGGCGATTTGCATCTGCCTTTCCGGATTATCATGCAGATTGCATTTTGCCACAATTACGGCAAAGTTCGCTAATGTTCCCCGGATGAGTAGCGCTTTATATTCATGTGTCAGAATCAAATGGCGCTGTAATCAGCGGAATTCATTAGCCAGGCTCACCACGTTCGCCGTTCAAGGCTAGTCGTTTGGGTTTGGGCTAGTCGTTGGTCAAGGCAGCCCTGCCTTAAAACACCATTAGTGGATGCAACTGGTTAGCTGGTCAACTGGCCAACTGGCCAGCAAAGGGGATTTACCACATATTAATGGGCACCCAGAATAACAGTCGAGGTCGTGGCTGTTGGTCAAAGGAAATCGTCACGTCGATGGCTGCGTCCCTGGCAATTGCACAATAGCCATAGCCACTTGCCATGAATATTTATATGCGAACCGCACAAATTGCATTGTGCGAGTACGTACGTTTTCCAACCACTTGGCTTTTACGGTGTTGGCCAACATCGGACGAGCCGAGAAGACCTTGCAGGCCCCTCTTGTGGCTCGGCAATTAAGCCAGCAAACAGAATTACAAAACTCTCAGAGCTCAAGACTATCGGCCGTAAAATTATTGACTGCCGCGAAACACTTGCAGTGGGTCAATAAAGCGTAATTAAAAGGCTCTAAAAATATTACGATTTATGTTTGGTAACACCCACACACCTAGTTTTTAGTACAAGTGTCTATCTTACTGCACAAAGAAAAAAAACTGGAGTTAGTAGAAAAAAAAATTAAATATTAAGAACTTTTGTTTAAAGATCATTTACGTAGTCATTATTATTATCATTTCATTAAGTATTTATATGTAGTTTAAAAATATTTTTTTTGGAAAAAAACAATAATCTTTTTTTTTTGATCCATTTAAATTTATGTTAAAACTAAAATTAGAAGATCAAGTTTTTCCAAAGGTATAATGTTCGAAAGGATCCTTTATCGGATAAATTTAAATTTATATTAGAAATCAAAACTTAAACTTTACAAAAAGGCAATAGGTTAAGGCTTTATAAAAGTTATTTAATATGCTCATTTTTATCATTTTCTGATTCCCTACTTATAAGAACTTTATAAATATCTTAATTTCTAATTGTTTTGAAGAACAGCTTATTTATTTGGAACTTTATCAAATTATAATTATCTTCAGCATTATCCTTTTTATAATTTTATTTTTATGAATAGAAAATTTAAATATTTTCCTGTGTGATCAAGGTCTGGCCTGGTAATCGCAGGTAAACAGTAGCAATCTACAAGTGTCTCTGCGCATGCGCAACAGCTGCAAAGAGCTGTACTTGGTGAAAGCGAAAGTTTTTCTCCGCCACAAGCTTTTCTCGGGCCTTTTACATAATGAAATGCACGACAACGATCCTTTTTACCCAATATTTTTGATGATGCCATGGCTGTAATTCTTAGCTCTTAGCTCAACTCACTTTTGATTTACGCACTGGCACTGGGGGATTTCACAAGTTGCTAATCTTATATAACAATATTTAAACGCGTTGCAGGCGAGGTATCTGGCTGAACTGAACTCCGGGCTCTAATTGATGGCCGGGATATCCGTGTGAGCTCCGCAAACTGACGACGATGTGAACGTGGGCACGCTTTGAGCGAAACTGCCAATTTTTGGACTGAAAATTTATTTAAACCTCGCTCTCGACCGAAGCAATTTCACTCAGTTCGTCGATTGGTTTGTTGAGTGGGATCTTGTGTGAGCTGTTGTTGTTGTTGAGTGGAGAGGCAGAGTGGAACAACCGAATCCGAATCCGAATCCGAGCCCAATCCGAACTTGGGAACTTAGCCATGGTAGTATGGAAAGTGGTTTCGAAAGGCTGTCGTCTTTATTACACTATTCTTGGCCTGGGTCAAGGTGGCGGCGCATGCCAGAGATCCTCCTCTAATTGCCTCGCGGCTTCCATGGATCATCCCTTCCTCGCTTCCTAGTCAAAGATTAAGTTTAAGCGGTCTCAAAGGCTAAACGACCCTAATTTCATTCAGCGCGTTTTAATCTTATTTTTTTCTGGTCATCTGCAAGCGCTTTCGGGTGACGTCAGTACGAGGTGCTATTTACAAAGGTCGCGAGCAGCGATTAACCCAAATGTACTGAACAATCCAAAAATAATTAGCCATCCGGACGTAATAGGTACATCATCTAATGACCATAATACTTTCATGCTTCATTTCTGCGGTTAGCGCAACTAATAGCTTCCGCATCATATTTTTGGTTAGTATCAGAATATTAGATCCAGTAAAAACAATTTCTTCCCCTAAACAAGATGAATGGATAACAATTTCAGATTTGTGGTTGCCAAAACGCAATTACTTTTGTTCTTATATACAATTTACTACATTTAAGCCCTTTAGCTAATCTGCTGTTCATCTAAAAGTATTTCAAAGACAATCACAATTAAATTTTTTGCAGGATAAGACGATTTATTTATCTGAGTTTCAACCCAAATTAATAAATAAGAAGCAAATAAAGAATTTATCTAAATTGCTTATTATTACTATTCAGATATTGTCCTCCAAATCGTCTGTATATGGGAAAGTTCGACTGTAGCTACTAGCTACACAAAATATACATTTATTATTCTCTAAACAACACAACTATTTGAATGAATGAAATATGCTGGTAATGTAGTATTTTTCAGCAATTACTTATATATTAATTAAGATGAGTACACTGTCCTTTGCTGATCTTTCAGTTCGCTCAGCTTGTATTACCATTAGTCGTAAAAGCGTTGTATTTTAATTCGGTCTTATTCAAACATTTCCACCTTTCGGCTTGAATGTCAAACGTGCCGTGCCAAAGATCGATGCTCCCATTTGCTTCTCTTTTCTTGGATATTCCATACTTTCTACGAAGCTAGCAGATCATTATATTTAATGGAGCAACCGGGGTACAATGACGTTGGTTGTCTAGGGAGAATTAATGTACTGGTGCCCTCAAATTATTGTCATAGACTTATTTGTAAAAATTTGAATATATTATATATTTTTGTTTTTCGACATTATATGGAAACTAACGGTTTAAAAATCAATTGCAAACGGATAGTACTTGTGGTTCAGGCCCTTGATTAAATTTAATGGCACAACACGTTCGCCAGTGTGATATCCATCGAGAACGGCCATCTCCTCGGCAGTTAACTCAAAATCGAAGATATCGAAGTTTTCCGAAATTCGGTTAGTATTCGATGACTTGGGAATGGGGATAACACCCAGAGCAACCTAAAAAAATAAAAGGTCAAATTAGATGGTTTCAATAATATGGGAAAATTTCCTATTTACCAAATAACGCAAGACAATCTGCGGTGCAGTTTTGCCGTATTTTTTGGCAATAACAGCCACCTCCGGGGAATAGATAAAGTCCGGCTTTTTGATATCGGGTTTGGGCTTTCCCAAAGGCGTATATCCAGTCACAGTGACATCGTTCTTCTTGCAGAAGGCTGTCAAAGCCTTCTGGTTGAGGGCAGGAGAGCACTCCACCTGATTGGTGACTGGCTTGATCTCGCAGTTAGCCAAAACTCGTCCCACTTGCTCGCTATTGAAGTTGGACACTCCTATGCTGCGGACCAGCCCCAGTTTAACCAGCTTTTCCATAGCCTTGTAGGTATCCAGGTAGTCCACATCGCTCAGCTGAAGCACGTCGTCCTCATTCTTTGGCATAAGGGTGTCGTCGTCAACATATTTGTAGCCCACTGGCATGTGCATAAGGTACAGATCGATGTAATCCAAGCCAAAGTTGCTCAACTGTTTCCGACAAATACCCTCAACACGCTCAGGATCGTGGAAAACATTCCAAAGCTGCAAGAAAATTAATATTAATATGTTAACATATATTTATTTATTATTATTTACCTTGGTAACGAGGAAAATATCCTCCCGCTTGACCACTCCCTCTTCTATTTTATCCCGAATCGCCTTGCCAACTTCGGCCTCGTTTTGATAGAAATATGCCGTGTCTATATGACGATAGCCAACATCGATGGCATGCTTCACAGCAGCCTCTCCTTCGTTGTCCTTCGACTGCAACATCAGAAAATAGAATTCAATAAATATATATTTCTCCCTTCAACAGGATCGGAAGTGTGTTTTGTAATGCGTATTTGGAAATCAGTATACGAGTACTTTAGACCCTCACGTGTGCATTTAAGCGAAACCATTGTAAGAAATTCAAAAAGTCGGAAAATGAAATTAATGTATCCTCAGGTAAGAACTTAGAATTTTTAGTTATCCTAAAATATCAATTAATGGTATTGATAGTATGATATGTTGTTTATTAAGGAAATGTTTCTTAAAATTAAACGAAAATGTGAAACTAAAATACTTTGTAAGTAAATCTATAACTACTGTAATATAACATTTGCAAAATAATAATTTTAATGATGTATTTTACTGAAGATTCCGAAAAAGATTTTACCTTAAGTTTTTAAAGTTATTAAGTAAACCTTATTTCTATATCCCTTTTACTAATGAGGATAGTACTGATGATTCTTAGCTTTCTCAAACTTCCAGATTCTTCGGCCCAGATTGAAAGACCCCATTTGGAGCAACTCCCCTTGGGTCAAGTGGAAATCGAAGACATCAAGGTTTTCGATAAGATGAACCTGCTGGGCAGCTTTTGGAATCGGCACGGTGCCAATGTCGATCTGTGAAACGTTTGTGTTTTTTCAACTATTAAATGTTTTCTATACCTTAATATTCTGAGGTTATATACCAAGTATCTGAGTACGATTTGTGCGGGTGTCTTGCCGTATTTTTCTGCCAGGGCCAAAACTTTAGGATCATCGTAGTATTCGGGTAAAGGTCTGCAGGTCTTAGGACGACCCAGAGGCGAATAGGCGACCACGGTGATGTTGTGCAATTTACAGAGCTCTATCAATGGGATTTGCACCAATTCCGGATGGCATTCGATTTGAAGAGCAACAGGTTTGATTTGGCAACTTTCCAACAATCTCTCCAATTGCTTGGCATTGAAGTTGGACAATCCCAGGCTGCGTACAAGTCCCAGGTCCACCAGTTGCTCCATGCTCTTATAGGTATCCAAATAGTCCACATCGCTGTGAAATCCGAAGATCAGTTTGTGACTAGGAATGGGTCTATCCAAAACTCACTTTGTCCTTAGTTCGCCATTCAGATGGGGCATCAGATCGTCATCTGATATATATGGCACACCCACTGGCGAGTGCATCAGGTATAGATCTATATAGTCCACGCCCAGTAGCTTTAATTGCAGTTCGCAGGCGTATTTCACCATCTGGGGTTCGTGGTATATGTCCCAGAGCTAATTGGATATGGATTTCCAAACTGCTTATAGCTTCTAGAAACTTTTTAGATGTTCCAGCACCTACATACCTTTGTGACCAGAAACACCTGTTCTCGCTTTATTTTCCTGTCGCCTATAAATTGGCCCAATACCTTGCCTATAATACTTTCGTTCCTATACAGATAGGCGGTGTCTATATGACGATAACCCAGTTCTAGGGCGTGGCGCACTGCAGCCTCACAGCGAGATTTCTTTAGCTACAGATAACATACTTATTGACAATTTCACAATGGCGAAATGCAGGTAGAATGTTCTATGGACATATCTCGAAGTTGATTGATAAAGCATTGTTGGTGATAGGTCACACTGATTAAAAAGATAAACTTACATTGTAGGTGCCCAGGCCCAGAATTGGCATCTCATAGCCATTGTTCAGTTTAACAGTCGGAGCGAGCTTCATTTTGAACGCTTTAACAAGAATAAATTAAATAATTTGTTCGCGAAATGGAGCCGGTTAAATAAGTGTGACCAAACAGCGTCACTAACAGAAACACCATATTCCAAGATTAGGGGCTTAGATTTTTTAGTCTGTTAAATTAATTATAAATGTTAATACAAATAATTTTAGTACTAAAACTATGAGTAAGCTTAATACATAGACTCCTAAAAAATAAAATAAAATAAAAATTGCACTCATAAAATGGAATAGCCCTTATGACGGTAACGGCACTGTGCTTTTTTCACTTTGTCATTTTACAGCACTAATTGAAAACTTGTACCCAGAACAGCTGTTAGAAAATACATTTACTAACTTACAAATTCTAAACAAAAGGAGATCTAAAAAAGAAACAAATACAAAAGCCCAATAAAAACACAAAAAGGAAAACATTTAAACCGCAAACTATAAAAAAAAACTGCCAGAAGACACAAACAAAAAACATTAAATTTATCAAAAAGAATAAGACATCGAAGGGTGAGTAAACAAATCAATTTTGTTTCGGAGCTCAAATAAAATCTTATTTCATAGAAAAACCATGAGCCATTTGGGCATCACGGATGTGCAGCAATCCCAAGATGCCACTCCAGATTTGGAATCCTTTACTGGTTTTGGGAATTCCGCGGCAGAGGCTTTTATACAGAGCCTCGCCGGAATGGTGAATCAAGGCGATGTTGAGACAATGATAAGGGCTCAGAAGCAAATGTAAGCTTTATAGATTAACCACATATATTATTTAAAGCAATTAAAATTAACACCCAGGCTCCAACGCTTCGAGAAAACCAATGAGATGCTTTTAAACTGTAATGCCCTGTCCCAGAGTCGCTTGAAAAGTGCCAGCGAGGATTTCAAAAGGCATGTGAAATGCCTGAACGATATGAAAAAGGATCTGGACTATATATTCCGCAAGATAAGGGTCATTAAACAGAAGCTGCAGTTGCAGTATCCCGCCATTTACGCCGAAGTACAACCTCAGAGGAGCAGTTTGGCGGAGGAAGCCGAGGATGACACGGAGGCACAGGCCAAAAAGGCCACAGAAACAACTGCTCCTCCGGCAGGAAAACCTGTAATATCCACTGCAGCTGCCAAGAAAAGTGCTGCCACCATAGAGTACGTGCAAATGGAGGAGGCTGTGGACAACGGCACTGTAGAGATCGAAAACGAACTGATAAAACGCGTTTGCTCGGTGGAAACGGCCAATCCCAATGACTCCTCCGACTGCACATCCGAGGATACAGGTTGAACAGCTCCATCTCACTTAGCTTAAGTTTTCATGGCTTAAATTATAATCTAGCACTCCAAAAACACCTTCGAGGACATAGCTCTACTCCGTTTAGTTAGCTTTACTTTTCTGGTATATGTATTAACTTAAGAAGTAAATGTCTTAAAATATAATCTGGTACTTGTACTGCTTGGGCACCTTAGAGATTATTACACGTCCATCGTAGCTGAGTGAAGCGAAGATCCAGGGATCCACATTGCTCCATTCCGCGCAGTAAACAGAATCCTCGTGCTGATCGAATGTTTGCAGCAGTCCATCTGGCAAGAGTTTGTGCCTCTCCTCGGGTTCTGCTCCACTGAAATTGGAGTCATCTAGTCCCGCTTGGACCTGAGTTTCCGAACTGACTGATCCGGCGCAGGTGAGCAGAACCTTGCAGTCACTGGAGCTGGAGAGGAGCAGCTGGTCGTGGAATGTGTTGAAGCGCACGGACCACACCCAATGCGAGTGGTCGGAGCGTTCGAAGACCGGAGCCTTGGGCATCCGACAGTCCCAGATCCTTAGGTAGCCATCGTCCCCGCCGGTGACCAGGTGGCACTGCTTGTTGGGATTGCAGTCCAGGTCGCGCACCATCTGCCCGTGGGCATCGCTGATGCTCCAGGCACAGTGCTGCGTGTCCCGCACATCGTAGGCACTCAGGTGGCCATCGTGGAGGGTCAGGAACTGGTGTCCCTGGTGGTGATGCGACCACTTGCCCGTGGTGAAGTGCAGCGTGTGCTTGGCCGATCCACTGGAGGATCCGCTGGTGGGCACCTCGGCCACCACGCGGGTGGAGGCTTCTGCCCTCTGCATTACTGCCACCTTGTTGTCCACCACGCAAGCGATTGTCTGCTCCTGGCTGGGATGGAATTCGATAGTTTTCACACGTTCTCCGGGGGCTTCCAAGACCTCCACCTGCTGCCACGGCAGGTATTCCGACTTTAATTGCTCCGGATCCGGATTCAGATCCTCTGGCAGAGTTAATAAGGCCGATTGGCTAAGCACCTGAGCTCCTTTCTGGACATTGTAGACGGAGGCCAGCAGGCGCGCATTATGGGGGCAGCTATTTAGTTTCCACACTTCACCCAGGGCATGTTCGAAGACCTGTTAATTGTTATATTTTAGTTTTATTTTTTAATTAGCCGTATGTTTACCTTTGATTGCACAGTTCCCTGTTCCTCCTCGTACTGAATTAAATGCACTTGATTCGTAGGTTTCAGGGAATTGGTAGCTATGAAAAAGCACACATCGTTGCTCTCACCATATTGAGGCGTTAATGCCCTGGCCTGGAGTTCTAGACCATAGATCAAGCTATTTTCATCCATTTTCTCAAATTAAGCTTAATGTTTTGATTTTGGGATGAAATGGGTAACGTACGGAAGGTAAACGAAAACGTACACAAAAAGGTGTACCTAACAGTGTTGGTCAGCGTCTAATTCCAGGTGGCAACTCTGGCCATCATAGGTAATAAATTTTATAATTAATTTATATTTTGCAATTAAAACATTAATCAGCTGTATAGATTCATCAGACTATATTCTTCTGGTATTTACACCAATTACAAAAGAAAATTTAAGTAAAATAACGAGAACCTTTAGATTAACTGAACTCATTAACATCAAACTTTTTTTTTTTAATAAAAAGTCATGGTCCTCTTATGCTTAAATATTTTTTAAATTTTCAGCAATTAAATGGTCAGCATTAAATGGTTAACTAAAGAATACCCTATATACAACTATTTTTTCAAATAATTTTCCTTATCATTGCGACAGTGTGACCACCCGATTACATAAATTCCCTCCAAAAACCTCAAAATACAACCCTGTGCACGCCCAAACAGTTTCTTCTCGTTCTCCTTCCATTTTGTTTTCACACAAAAGTGAAAAAAATATCCGAAAAAGCAACAGACGCGTATTCGGACCGATCAACAAAATTTCCACTCTACAGTATATATAATAATCATTACAATTCGAATTCGAACCAATCCGTTCCGCCACGAATCGCGCAAAATTAGCACACGCATCTGTACCGTAAACCCAATAGCGCGTACCTTATAGCGGATATAGCATATAGCATCCTACATAGCGATGGCGCAGAATATCAGTCCCGAACAGAGTGGTGGAGCCGGGGGCGGGGGCAGTAAGCATAGCGATGACTCTTTGCCCGTGAAAGACAATCACGCCGTGAGTAAAAGGTGAGTTGGAGCAGCACATGGTCGCGGTTTGCCCCGTGATAATCCGCCCCTCTAATCCCCCACAGACTGCACAAGGAACTGATGAATCTGATGATGGCCAACGAGAAGGGAATATCGGCGTTTCCGGATGGCGAGAACATCTTCAAGTGGGTGGGCACCCTAGCGGGTCCACGGAATACCGTGTATTCGGGGCAGACGTACCGCCTGTCCCTGGATTTCCCCAACTCCTATCCGTACGCAGCGCCCGTGGTCAAGTTCCTGACGCCCTGCTTCCATCCCAACGTTGATCTGCAGGGCGCCATCTGCCTGGACATCCTGAAGGACAAGTGGTCGGCGCTGTACGATGTGCGCACCATTCTGCTGTCCATACAATCCCTGCTGGGCGAGCCGAACAACGAGAGTCCACTGAATGCGCAGGCCGCGATGATGTGGAACGACCAAAAGGAGTACAAAAAATATCTAGACGCCTTCTATGAGAAACACAAGGACACCTAGAGCTTGGCGCTCGAAGAAGTCCTATATCCTATGCTCATATTGCGGCGTATTTATTTACATATAGTGCAAGCAACTCCACTCATCCGATCCTACTGCCCACAATCAATCATCATCAATCACCGATACCACATCGTTTAATGCTGATACTTCTTTGGCAAAACAAAAAACCCCGTGCATTTCTTATGTAATTGTCGATTGATAGACGGATAATCTGGTTTATATTCTCATTTTTCTTTCCTCCCCCCACAAATTAATGATATATGAATGTATTGGTAATGTAATTTTAAAACTGTCCGTTCTTTAAGCTTAAGCATACATTTTAGTTAATTGTTTTTATACGCATGATTTTGAAAAGAGCGGGCGAGGTATCCAATTGCCTCCACCTTTTGTACTGATGATTTTTAAGCGACTGTGCTGCGCCGGCCATTATGTGAATGTTAGCTAATTTTAGAGTAGCCTCACCGAACCAACCACTCGTCTTAGTATCTCCATTCATGCGGCATTCTCCCAAACCACTACTGGTGTACCAAATTCCAAGTAATTCGAATCATTGTAACAGTTGAGTTAGCTTGATGTTATTGAAACCACAAATAAAACAAATTATTGAACTACATAATTCTCGTGCATCGTCAGGTGTGTGGATAAGGATAGTCTGCTGCTGAAAATGCGTCCGCACTTTCGGCATCTTAGTAGATTCTTATTTCCGTGTTTGCGCTGCAGGTGATCCCTCATGTTCTCCTTGGTGTAGAATTTTTGGTCACAGAATTCGCAGGGGTATTTTCGATGCTCCTTTTCATCATGAATTCTTTGGTGGCGGGTAAGCAGTGCCTTTCGCACAAAGGATTTGCCGCACATTTCACAAATGTGCAGGGAATCGGGCGATTCTATTCTACAAGTCCTTTCGTGTGCCCTTTTTAAGTGATATTTGAGACTTCGGTCGGCCGTGTACACTTTATGGCAGGCTGGACAGGGATAGGTTACTCGCCCGGAGTTATTATGATGCACCTCCCGCAGGTGCGCATCTAGCAGATTGGACCTCGCATAACTCTTGCCGCAAAGGACGCAGGTATATGGCTTTAAACCCTCATGCTGCTTCATATGGGCTTCCAGCAGCGACGCTTTGTAGAAGCCACGATGGCAAACGTTGCACTTGAGGGTGTGTCTCACTCTTCGCTTCCTTTCCCCTGTCACATTTCTAAGGGACGAAATGGGTATCTTCTCATTTTCAAGATCTCGATTGGCAGTCTCGTCTTCGATTATTAACACTTCCTCCTGGAATCAGAAAGAATAATATTTAATTACAACCAGGGGAACTAATCAAATCTATAAGAACGAGATATATTTCACATTGAATACAACATTTTTAAGTACTGTCTTAATTATAAAATACCCTTTATTATTGTTCAACCATTGCAAAGTAGAACTGTCCTATAAACCTAGTTAGGTATGTATTTATTTACCTCAAATGCCTTCCATCATGCCTTTTATCTTATCATTTTGTTAGACAGTACTGTGAGGGAAGTAAGATTTCAAGACTGAAAAGTTCAGGGCCATAAGCTGCTACAGAAATAAAGATCTTACCCCAAAATATTGGAAATAATAATAATTTATATATAATAGCTAAGGAATATTTCTAGAATGGGTGATATGTAAGTACTATACAAAATATTATTATTTTTATAATTTAAGCTGATGCCTAACAATCAAAATAGTGACCGTGACTCAATCTTTGTTCCTAAGTTTATATATCCGTTTTATTATTATGTTTTGGTTGGTCTCATAAAAATGAAATACAAATGATTTCTAATTTCAGCACATCATAAAAACGGGGGTCTAGACTTTACTGGATATATTTTTGATAAACATACACTTTTAAGAGCCTTCAAGAACGGCATATACATTTATTCGCGCCCTAATATTATTAAATTTCTATATGTGCAGTGGAAAAATTATAAATAACGAATAGATTAGACCGGCCTCCTTTTTGAATGCTATCAACACCAAACATTCAGGCACCAACAAAAATAGTACAACACAAACAAGCGCCAAAATGTTTATGTTTATGGCGGCGAATGGGGAAGTATTGTCTTTGCTGCTAGGCAACACCTCAAGCACCGAATCTGATTATAGATTAGATTATAGCGGAGGCACACCTGTGCATAGATAAAACTTACAATTTCCTCAGTGGATTCGATGCAGGCTGTGTTCATTTGGGCTTCCTGATTAGTGGTGGATTCGTTACTTTCCGAGGGGGTGTCCAAGTCGGGTATTTTCAGGGTATCCTCCTGCTGCCTGAGGCATTCAAAGTCGATGTCCAAGAGCAGCTTCTCAAAATTGCGCGAGGACTCTTCGCACATGCGTTGAAAGTCGTGGAACTTTTGCACCAGTTTGTAGCAGCATTCGCAGATGCTTTTCAGGACCAACTGGGGTGGCAAATCCTCATCCTGCAGGCGGAACTTCTTGCCCGGATCGCCACCAGTGCAGCCGTAATACTTTCTAGCCAAGTCCTGTTCACTGTCCAGATTGTAACAGGCATCCTGGGGGCCCAGGAGCACCAGACAGGCTCGGCAAATCATCGTTTTGGTCACATCTCGTCCGTCTATTCCCAGGGTGGTGGAATCCGCGACCATGTGAGCCGCGCCGAGATTCAGCTTCGTTTCAAACATCGTTGGCGAAGGGCTCTCCACTCAAGCGGCATGTGGAACAAATTGAAATCAATTACCACAATTTACGGCCGTACTGCAGTGCGGCGGCGTCCATCGGCGACCCCCTCAATCGCAGTAATGCCAGCGGAGAGCAGACACCAAACAGCACGATTTCATTTCCGGGGCTTTCGGATTGCGGGACATTGAAAGCTGCTGCCGAAAAGCTACTTGGGATCAGCCCCAAAAGCTTGGCGACTATATATACCACCAACTATTTTATTCGAAAAGCTATCGGTACTGATTTGAATCAGAATATTAGCTCTTAACTGGAAAAAAGTCAGGATTAAATCATATACTATCTAAGAGTATAAGAGCTATATAAATATAATAATTTATAAAATGTATAATGTAAATACAATTTAGAAATATTGTTAAAGGGTTGTTATTGTTTGTGCCCATTTTTAAAAAAAATACTTTTTTTTATAGGACAAACCAAATATTTATCCTTTTTTATTTTTAAATAATAAACGTATACGCTATTTTTCTATTAAATTTGATCTGTTTTTATTAAAAACCTTCAAACATAGTTCCTTCCAAATGCTAGGTTATATTATAAGTGTAAGTATTAAAAATAAATATAAGTAGTAAATTATTGGCATATTTGTTAAAGAGAAGTCCCATTTTAAAGTGTTTTAATAGAGGCAAAGAATATTTTATTTGTGTATACGCACAAAAAGTATTTAGGGAGTAATTTAAATTACAATAATGCCATTCTGCTTACAAATTTTAATAAAAAAGTAAGATGATCAGAAACTAAAACCTTTTCATGAATTAAAATCTAAGGCAACTTAACCTTACACTTATTTACTACTGAGATTGTAGTACAAAGTTTTGTTCTTGTTGCTTAAATAGTATGTTTTGTTGAAATCGCGAAATAATCTACAAACTATCACCTGTCATCGCTGAGCCCAAAGTCACGGAAGTGGCCACCGAAGAAATGGTCTCCATAGAGACGTTGAACTTCTGCTTGAACGCCTGCATCGTGTCCAAGTGATATATCTTCTGTGTTCCATTGCAAGGCCTCTGATCAATGGCCACGGCATACAGGTTGACATCTCCACTGTTCGCTAGCAGGGTGGACATGTAGTGGGGCAAGTAGACGCGCTGCAGCTCCGGCGATTCAGAGGTCTCCGAGCCATTGTCCCCGTTAGCCAGTTCCTTGCTGAAGGACCGATGCAAACGGACTATTTGCACGCTTTGGTAGTGGGCAATAAATAAGAAGGGTTCGCGGTAAACAAAGCCAGTGGGTGCATAGACCCAGTTCAAATCGCAGGGCCTGGATCGGCAGCCAAACTCATCGACAAAGACTCCACACTCCGCAAAGCAGAGGAGGTATTCCTGTCGAGAAATGCGCACAACAGTAAGTGGCTGACACTTGGCAGTGCTCTCCATCGACTTGTCCGAAAGGTCCACAAACTCCTCAGCTGCATAATTGTCCAAATCGATCTCGTAAAACTTATCCGAAGTAACAATAGCTGAGTGACGTGTGAAGAATATAGAGGTGACTGGAGTGGTGGTGTCCAGAGCTCTAACTGGCTTAAACATATGCAACTTGAGGTCGTATTTCAAGATGACAATCCGGGTGGACGTAGCCGCAATGGCCACCGAATCCAAAGCGTTCTCTGCCTCATCAGAGATCAGCACCAGTTTCCATTTCTCCGAAGGCGTGCGATTGGCAAAGGGTAGCTCGATGGCGGAGGTCTCCAACACAGGCTTATGACAGGCATTGGAACTCTGGCAACGCGACTCCAACTGCCGGTAGTCGCACTGGTATAGCTTCTCGCCCACCGTGCCCACCATAATTGCCTTAGCCAGACGCTTGCAGATGGACATACAACTCACGGACTCGAGTCCAGAAATGTGCACCAGGCGCTGGGAGTCCAGGTGGTACGCATACAATCCGGTGTTACAGCCCAGGAGGAGTATTTGCTGCTCGGCCACCTCGAAGGCACAGTTCACTTCGATCTCCTTTTTAGCAGCCTGATCCCCCGGGCAATCGGAACTGTAGACCAGCGATCCAATGTACTCGCTACTGGTTGTTGAACCTGCAACATCTAAGCTCGAGACAGATGGAATACTGCTTAGGTCATCTGCTGGCGGTGCTGTAGGTTTGGTTCCGCAATCTCCCTGAACATTGGCCCGGCACTTGCGATGCGTCACATCCTTGCACTCCCGGCACTTCCAGAAGGGCGAGCCGGCAACGATGACCTGGCCACAGACTACACAGTCGGCTGCATCTACCTTGGACTCCTGCAGAGCCAGCTCAAAACGGTGATGGGCCTGCTCTGCACTGGCTGGTTTGGTCAACTTCTCCGTGGTCTTCAGTTCCACTTGGCTAGTTGTGCGCTTCAATGGCAACTGCTGCTTCTGTGGAGAACGTGGCAGGGCGGCAATGCTTACTGGTCTTGGTTTAGGTGTGTCGGAGTCGCCATTAACTGCCGCCGACTTGCGAGGAGAGCGCAAAGTTGCAGTTCCTAAAATTTACAAAATATAGGTTATTATAAAAAACTTAGATATATGTAAATAAGTGTTTCAATTAAGAAATAGTCTTTTTATTCCAGTTAGATGTAAAAATATATAACTACTTAGTAAACTCACCGTTCAACTGTGCCACCTGCTCCTTCAGCATGCTGCACAACTTTTGTTCTCGCTTTAGTTCCTCCTTTAGAGCACGATACAGAATAGAAGACTCCACATCGTTAGGTGATATGTTCTCCTTGTTGGTGTGGCTGGAACCGAAGAGCTTGTCCGCCAGGGTTTTCTTCTTCTTGGAGGACAGGTCTTCCACTTTAAGCTAAAATTAAATTTATTAAGTAAGTCGTAAGTCTCGTAAATTATTTCCAAAAATGTCTAATAGTTATACCTGAAGATAGTCAATCAGCTTCTTGTGCTGGGCAAGAGTTGCATTTGATTTGATATCGCGCTGCACATAGAACTGCTCTTTCTCGGCCAAAGTATCCTGAAGAGAATCGATTTCCGCGTGCAAATCTGCTTGGGCCGACTCCAAGTCCCTTATGTCTGCCTGGAGATTGGCCACCTCCTCCTTCTTGTGGAAAAGCTCGCTTAGAATACGTGCATTTTCCTCTTTTAGGCTATGCATCTCTCGATCCGAATCCACAGTTTGCGCTTCGTAATTGGCATTCTGACCTTCGAGAAGATCCGCGCGCTCTTGGGTGGCAAACAGCACGTTTGTCTGCTCCACCAGCTGATCCTGCTGCGCCACCAGCTTCTTCTGCTGCTCCTTGAGGTTCAGTCGAAGTTCCTCGACTTCCGATGCCAGAACCTGGGCGCGCTTCTCGGCAAGACGCTTTTCGGATTCAATGGCAGATAGTTCCTTCCGCAGCTCAGTCAACTGATCGTTTCTCTCCCTCAATTTTCCATGAAGCATGTCCAGTTGAGATTTTTGGGATTTATTGCGATCCTGTTCGGATTTGAGCATGGATTCGACCTCGGTTAATTGGTTGTCCGTAATGCTGCAAGCGTACTTCAACCTCTGGAAATTCTCCGTGAGTTGTTTGAGTTCCTTTTGCAAAGCCAGGCTGGAATCATTGGCTTTACTGCTCCGATCGCGCTCCTCCTGCAACTCCCGCATGGTATTCTTGTGCTCCAAAGTCAAGCCATCGAATCGGGTTTGGATTTGCTTTAGTTTCTGTCGCAACTCACTCTCCTGCTGCTCAAGTTTGTGGACATTAGCCAGGTGTTCGATTATCTCCGACTTGCACTTCATGCGCTCCTGCTCGGCCTTTTCCCATTGGCGATGCTCCTTGAGGACATCCCGTTTGGCGGCTGCCAGCTCTTGTTTCAGCTCCTCGATCCGAGATTCCCGCTGGCGTGTTTCCTCTTGTGACGACTTCAGCATTCTCTGAGATTCCTCGTTGGCGTTTTGTGCCTTTTTAATGCGATCCTCGGTTAGTTCCATGCGTCGTGTTAATAACTTTTTCTCGGACAAAGCTTCTTCGAGCTGTTTCTCCACTTTCCAGAGAGAAAGATTTGCTGTACGCGCCGCCTGACGCTCCACAATCATCTGTTCCCGAACTGCAGCCAATTTATCCTCCAATTTCTCGTTTTGCCGCTCGAGCATGTCACCCACGGTTTCGGTTTCCTGCTTTCGAGAAGAGTGCGACTTTGTGGGTGAAAGACTCTGCTCGTTAAATCGCTCGAGCATTTGCTCTAGTTTGGTGACCAGCGTTTGAAGTTGATCGGCGCGTCCCTTCTGATGGGTTTCGCCCTCTTTGGCGGCTATTAAATCGGCACGCAGTTGGTCCTCGATGGCGTTCAGTTCGGTCAAAGATCCAGGCGCAGTTTCGTATGGAGATGTATGCGAAGCTAGCGAAGATTCAGCCAGCTGACAGCGACATTCGGCAAGCTAGATGAACACAATATATTAGTTTCAATTAGATTCATTTTTGCACATTCATTAATTGTACCTACAAGTTTAAATTACATTTTCTAAAATGTTTGTAAGACAATAAATTAATTGATTTAATACATTTCTCTATAAGCTATGTACATTTAATTAAATACAACTTGGCGATCCAATTTCGGCTATGGCATCAAATCCAAAGCCTGCTTGCCTGTTTACATATATTTTCTAAATTTAGCAATAACTCACCTGTAGTTCCCTTTCAAGACGATGGCATTCTGCTTTCACTTCTTGGGTTTCATTTTCCTTCAGCTGCAGCTTCGTCTCCAGTTTGACCTTTTCCGCATGGAGCTCGTTGTTGGAGGCAATCTCCTGGTTAAGTCGCCTCAATATGTCCTCGATATTTCGCTCCGTGGCGTTCTTCGCTTCCTGTGTTGACTTGCTGGAGCATATAGATTCGTCCAGTTCGGTGCGTATTTCTTGCATCTCCATTGTCATCCGACGATGTGTGTCTTGTGAGTCTCGCACTTTTTTTCGAAGATCTGTTAGCTTTTGCTCATACGATTCAGCCATTTGTCGCTTTTGCTCCTCATGATTGGTCTCGGATTTAAGATTCAGCTCTTTGAGTTGCTGCAGCATGTCCTTGTAGTTCTGCAATTTCATGGAAATATGCTTGCACTCCTCCAACTTTGCATTAAATTCAAGCTCTCTAGCATCCAACTTTTGCAGCGTTGACGCTAGCTCTTGTTTTTTGTCGGCCAATTGTTTCTCATATCGCTGTTCCGATGCAATTTTGGCTTCCTCATACTTTTGTCGATTCAAGCGAAGTAGATCGGTTATAGTAGATTCCTTCTTGGACCACATTTCCTCATCTATTTTGGCCGAACTCTGCAGTGTTTTGATCTGCGTCTTGCAGTTGCTAAGCTCCATTGTTTTCTCCTTTATAATTTGCTGCAGCTTCTTGATTTCCACTTTGGCATCGGATACGACCTGTGATTTATTATCGGTCTTTTTAAGCGATTGTTGTGCCCGCAAAAGATCTTGTTTGAGCATGGAAATCTCATTCTCTCTGGTTTTTAGTTTTAGCAGCAGATCTTTAAGTTTCTCCTGCAATTTTTCATCGGTAGCAGCGGATATTGCTGTCTTTTCCATGTGCACAAAACTGTAACCAATAAATGGCAGATCCTTGCCACAAAAATCATTGGATTTCATGTTTGTCGTAAGCGACTTTTTAGTCAACCCCTGTTCTCTGCGTGTTTTATGTCGAGTTCCATCTTCGAAATTGGAGGTGTCGTCATCGGACTTAATAGTGGGTATGATGGGAGGAACCTGGGACCGAATGGCATTCCACGGAACCTCGTCAAAGAATGGGTGTTTTTTAATGCGCTCATAGGATAACCGCTTCGAAGGATTTGTGACCAGTGACTCGATCAGATTCCTGTAGTTAATTGACACCTTTAGGTCGCTGGGAAAGCTGATTAGCTCTTTCAAGTGACTCTCCTCGCAGTGGGAGAGAATCTTAGAATAGGTTTCATGAACATTGTCCTCATGGAATGGTGTCGTCTCGCATATTAGCTCGTAGCCAATGATGCCCATGGACCAGTAATCGCAGCTCACCTAAAATATAATTTTATACGATTAGTTATCGCTCTGCAAAACTTATGCTCTGCGATCGTACAGTTCTACTCACATCGTGCATCGACTTAGACAGCTTGTAGGTGGATATGGTCTGCAATAGCTCTGGAGCTATATAATCTGGCGTTCCCACGGGCGACAGGCTCAACACGTGACCGTCCCTATTCAGGGCAGCGGCATTACCGAAATCAGCCAGTTTGATATGTCCGAAACGATCAATTAATATGTTCTCCGGCTTGATATCCCGATGCACGTATCCCATCTCGTGCAACGTGTGAAGGGCTACTGTGAGCTCGGCCAGGTAGAATCGAGCCAGATCTTCATCAAATGGGCCGTGGCGAGACATCAAGCTGAGCAGATCCCCGCCAGGCATGTACTCCATAATGAGATACAGGTTGTCGTTGTCCTGGAATATTACAATTTGGTTTAATTATCATTAAAAATTTAAGTATTTTTTAACCAACCTGAAAAGCGTACTGCAGATTGATCAGCCACTCGGAATGGCGGGTGGACATGATATCTCGCTCCTCCTTCACTTGCGAGGTGGTCACCACCGACTTTTTAATCTTTTTCATGGCGTATATATCATTAGTTTGCCGCTCGACCACCAGATGCACATTACCAAAGTATCCTTGTCCAATAAGGGTTTTGATGAGAAAGTCATCGGCATTCACACGGAGTTTGCGGGTCTCCTCCACAATGGGACGAACTGGGTGAGGAATGAGTTGATAGACATAATTAAATAGATCAACCAAAAAAAAAGAACCATCTTTGTCTATAGAGCTTTCCTGGTTCTAGACTTGGATTCTATTAGGAATCCATATTATTAATTTACATTTATTATTAATAGGCAAAAAAGGATGTATGTGATCAGCTGAATAACATTCGTCAACAAGAATTAGACTTAATAATACAAGGGGAATTGTTTAAATTTCCGCCTTAAATCCTTCAGGAATCTGTGGCACTAGTCAACAAAAAAATTACTTTATTTCTGATACACAAGTAAAAGATGTCCAATCTACGGGAAACAGTTCCAAGCCTTGGCAGGCCAGTGTAGTTGACTCACATTTGTTGACAAACTCTGCGATGTTGCGATCGCGCTTCTTCAGCGTGTCCTTGTCGCACTCGTTGTACAACAGGCAGAAGGCGTCCAGGAGTCCTTCGCGGCATATGGCCTCTGCAACCGCTGCGCTGGTGGTGCTCACGGGTATCACGCTCCTCCTGACAGATGTGGATGCGGATCCCCCCGATCCGGAGGCATTTCCAGCGGGCTTTGCACAGACGCCAACACCTTTTCCCAAAATCAAGTTGTTCAGGCGCGCCGTTCGCACACTAATAGGCTCTAGTTTGGGCGGCATATTGAGCTCCGTATGTCTATAACTTTTTCACATAAACTAGATATTCAGAAACCCGTAAAATGCGTGCGCATTTCAGTCGTCGTTTTGCTTTGAATGGGAAAAAAAAGAAGCGCCGACAGAAGCCGAAAAGTCAGGGCTACATGCTCACTCTGCAGAGTTGCATTTAGGGTTGCAGACAGGGTTGCCCAGGGAACCGTCATTAATTTATCAAATTCAGACAGATAAACCCATTTTATAAATGCATTTTTCACTTTAATCAAAATTTAGGAACTAAAACCATTTATTTTTATCAAAATAAACAAAATAGATAATATTACTTGCTCGCTGCCATGCCGCTGCTTTCCACCCGCGCTTTCCAACACCCGACGACGCACTCGCTCGAGCGAAAATCGTTCATTTTCGACGGGTAGGTTTTCGCAGACGGACGGAGCAAAGATTTGTGCATCGAAAATTGCAATTTTCACATTTAAAGCCGTGTGTGCTGCACCACAGACATTGGAAAAGAGTTTTCCGCACTTGTGGTAAAACGCAGGTCCAGAAAGAAAACTCGGCTAGAAGGCAATTGGCCGTAAATTCGCCCTGGAACTGGAGGGCAATTGCGTGTGAAAAAAAGAAGAGCACAGGCTAAAACCGTCGAGAAATCGTTGTCGTCGCGCTCGCTATAATTGTTTGCTTTTGGCCAGAGAAATTCGTGTGTGCCTGTTGGCAAAAAACACTTAATAATAGTTTGTATTTCGGGTGTGAGTGCGCAGTGAAGTAATAGCCAAGATGAGCGGGGGATTGCCTGAGTTGGGCTCCAAAATCAGCCTCATTTCCAAGGCGGACATTCGATATGAGGGCCGCCTGTACACTGTGGATCCGCAGGAGTGCACCATTGCGCTCTCGAGTGGTAAGTATTTAAAATCTCCCACGTAATTATATATACGGTGTGTGGGTGCCGTAATCTGCGCCAAAAAAAAAATCCCTGTAAAAAAACGGTTCACCGAAAAGAAAATGGATTCTTTCCATTTCTTTTGTGTGTCTCCTCTTTTTTTCGTTTCTTTTTGTTAGTTTTTACAGTAATTTCATACTCTGCGAGAGTGCAATTGCCGCTCTTACTCCCTCTCTCGGGCTCTCACTTATGCTTTTTGTTTGTCATGTTGGCTTTGGCCTGTTTTTGTCTCTCGCTTGTTGTTGTACAGTGTTGCTTTTGCATTTTACATGACACACATACAAATCCACACGCACACTTGCAAATCCCCAATGCAATTTGTTTATTTGCAAAAACAATTTCGATTTGGCGCCAGATAACGGGATCCACGGGCTCCCGTTACGAGTGTCAGTGCCCTGTAAGGCAAAAAGGAGAAACGGGGGAGAGAGTAGAACGCACAAATACCGGCAAAACATGCGTTTCCCTGTTGAGGTTAAATAGGAATAACCTTAATGGGTTTACATGGTTTTCACTACTTTATATTTTTAATATCTAATGTAGTTTATTATATAATGCAATTTGTCTAAAACAATCGGCCAAATCTCCCCTATCGGAAAACTATGATTTCGAATCCAGCCAGCTTGTCTAAGATCAAAACTTTTAAAGATTTTGTTTAGATTATTTGTATTTAACTAATTTTAAATTTGAAATTAAACAATAAATCGTGTTAAATACTAGTAATGATTGGGTCTGGACCAATAATGTGGGTGACACAAAGTGTATATTTAAAAATGTAATTTCAAAAATGACTGAAAATACATATGTTATCTTTTCGACTGGGGAATATGGAATCTAATTAAAAATTCTTTTCATTTCTTAGTGCGGTCCTTCGGAACGGAAGATCGGGACACCCAGTTCCAGATAGCGCCGCAGTCGCAGATCTACGACTATATCCTCTTCCGGGGATCGGACATCAAGGACATTCGCGTCGTCAACAACCACACGCTGCCGCACCACAATGACCCGGCGATCATGCAGGCCCAGCTCCAGAACGGACCGCCCCAGATGCCGCAACACTTTCCCATGCCCAGCGGGATGAGCGCTCCGCCGCAGCAGCAGCAGGTACCGTCGCAACAGCAGCAGCCGCCCCAGATGCCAGGTGGAGGTGGTAACGGCGGCGCCGGCGGAGGAGGAGCTCCCGGTGGAGGTGCCCCGGGCTACGGCAACGGCAATCCGTTCGGCAACCTCGGCGGTCCTAACCTAGCCAGCATGGTGGGCAACGCGGGCGGATCACTCGCTCCCGGATCCGGAGCCCCTGGCAGCGGACCATTCATGCACCTCGGCGGCAATCAGCAACAGCAGAAGCCTCAGCAGCAAAAACCGCCAAGTGAGTTCAATTTCATCACATCTTTTAAGATTATTTTAATAACGTTAAGCAAGTTTTAAGTTTTAAGTAAAATTTCGATAACAATCAGTAATATTGTTCTAAAGGATTATGCAAAATTGTGACAATATGATACATTTTTGAAATCTTGTTTCACTCCTAATGTTACAACCATATATAAATTGTTCAATTTTGATTGCAATAAGATAAACTAAAACATTTACAATTAGCTTTATCTTATCGAAGAATAAAGATATAGTAAAGCCTCTACAGTTGGTACTGAATTAATTACAAGATTTAGGTATCTTATGGAAAATTATAGAATTTCGCTGACGCTAGTAATTTGTAGGATCACCTCTTGAAATTGTGAATTTCAAATTATACATATAACATGCATTCTTTGGACTAATATTTACCCGTGCCTGCGCGCATTATTCTCTCCATTTCGTCCTCGTTGCGTCCTTTTTATGTATACAGTTTCCGTTCTAGACATGCTGGCCGGAGCCTCGCGCTCGACGACGCCCATTAGCCTGATTGTGAGTCCCACGGCGGAGCTGACCCAGCAGCAGCAGCTACACCAGCAGCAGAACGCTGGCCAGGGTGGCAACGGACGCGATGCAGGTCATAAGCGCCAGAACCACCAGCAGCACCAGAATCAGCAGCAGCAGCAGGCCCAGCAGCAGCGCGGCGGCGGTCCCAGCCACAACAACATGCAGCAGCAGCAACAGCGAGGCGGCAGTGGCACCGACTTCTACAACCAGCACCACCAGCAGCGGGATCGTCGTGACTCCGGCCGTCAGATGGATAATAACTACAACAACAATTACAATAATAACCAGCGCAATCGCGGCGGCGGTAATGGCATGCAACAACAACAGCAGCAGCGAGGAGGAAACGGCGGTGGTGGCGGAGCCGGTGGAAATGGAGGTGGTAACAACGCCGCCTGGAACATGCACCGCGGTGGTCAGAACTCGAACAACATGATGATGCGTAATCGCGGAATGGGATCAAGAGGGCCCATGCGACCCAACCAGGTACACCTATTAGTACTTTGTATTCCTCTAGAGAGTTTATTTACCTTTTGGGACTGTATTTACAGGGCTATCGTCCGCAGTCGGCTAATCAGAACAAGCCTCGCAACAAGATCAAGTTCGAGGGTGACTTCGATTTCGAGCAAGCCAACAATAAGTTCGAGGAACTGCGCTCCCAACTGGCCAAGCTCAAGGTGGCCGAGGATGCCAACGCCAAAACAACCACCAACTCGACTACAACCACTGCAACTGCAACCAATGAGCAGGTGGGTGAGAAGGTTGAAAGCGTCCATACAGTAAGTCGAACTCTTTTTTATGTTTTAAATATTGTTATTAAAGCTTTTCTATAGTGAATAGCTGATTTACCATTTGATATAATTTAATGTTACTAATACCTGATCAATTTTAAATGTGTGAAAGAAACAGCACCCAAAGTAATAAAACCTTATTCTTATCAAAATATTATATACCTTTTTTATATATAATTTCTTTATATTTTAAATTAAAGTTAAAAAAGTTACACTTTACTTACCTTTGGAATCCTCTGTTTGCAGTTGAATGGAGAGACCGACAAGAAGGATGACTCTGGAAACGAGACCGGCGCTGGAGAGCACGAGCCCGAGGAGGATGACGTTGCTGTGTGCTATGACAAGACCAAATCGTTCTTCGACAACATCTCGTGCGAGGCTGCCCAGGATCGCAGCAAGAACAAGAAGAATGATTGGCGCCAGGAGCGCAAGTTGAACACGGAAACCTTCGGAGTCTCGTCGACGCGACGTGGCAGGTGAGTCAACCAAAGAACTCACTTATCTAAGCAGCTAATCATTTAAATATATAATGCAAACAGCTACCGCGGACGCAACCATTACTACAACAACAATGGCAACATGGGCGGAGCGGGCAACGGCGGCATGAACTCGGGATACGGAGGTGCGCCAGGCTATAACCGAAACAACTATCGCATGGGCGGCGGAGGCAACTTCCGCAACAGGAGCAACAATCGCGGCGGCAACCGGGGAGGTAATGGCATGCCAAACATTACCAACGGGAATGCCAACACGGCTGCAGCGCTGAAGGCTGCCAACAATGTGGGATCTGGATCCAATGCCACGGATTCGAATGCACCCAACGCCACAACCACGACGACAAAGTCGACGTCCCTCTTGCCAGAGCAGACGCAACAGGTGGCGGCAGTTTGTAAGTAGCAATTATATCCGATGATGTTATATCCGAAACATGTATTAAACTTATGTTTCTGCCTACAGCTCAATAGTGCCGCCCAGCTAGTGGACAACCACTTTAAATAAAAATTGATAGAAACGAATTGAGAAGAAGAAAGTTAATATCCTATTCTTTGCAAAGCTAATTATTCGAAGCAACCCAATCAACCGACCGACCGAACGATCGACGACACACAGGCTCTTATTATCAGGAATTTCGAGTTATGGATCTAACGGCATAAAATATTTGTATAATTAAACTTAGTGTTATAATTCTCACGACGTCCTTGGGCGCACTCCGCTGCCCGCCCACCACACCGTGTGCTTGGCGATGATGATTAACATAAACGCTTAACGACTAGCGACTGTGAACGTGAAAGTGAACCGGCCATCTGTTAGGTTTTGTGTAAATGGCTGGTTCCAACGCCTTTCGCTGAGCAGAAAACACGGTAATGATAACGAGGAGATAATGGCACGCCTACATACATACATATATTTAGTAATAGTTGTGAAGAACATAGTAAGCATAAGTATATGAAAGCTACAAAAAACAAAACAAAAAATTTACCAGAAACACTGAGAATTAGCGGAGGAGTCGATAACAATAATGAAATTAATGGAGCAAAACAATTAAATCCATGGAATTCCCAAAACTAAATAAAAGCTAATTAACATGTTTTTATTTGAATGAAAGAAAAAAAGAAACAAAACAATTGTAATACTGTATTTCTTGTGGGCATAAAACATCGACCAACACTCGAACCGTTTTACTAGCATTTAAACCTATTATTTAAGAGCATTTTAAATATGAAAATGAAAATAAAATCGGCAGCAATGCTTGTTGGAAAAGCACAATTGTAAAAAGTCAATCCAGCCCAGCTGAAGAGTGAAGAGAGTCTCCATATGAAAATGTGAAAAAAAACAGAGTAGCGAATTTGTCATTATTTAAAAGTCATCCACAAAAAAAGCCCAAAAAAGTTAAGTTTTCGTACAGTTTATTTTTTCTGATCTCGGTTGGGCTACAAATTGCACATTTTTCGCCACGCCTGCAATGGAATTTATACTTACGATTTGAAACAATACGATGTTCTCGATGTAAATGTTAAGATTGTGTGATTACTGGCTGCGCTCCGTTTGAAATCGAGGCCTTCAAAACCGAGTAAAATTACGTGTGTGCATGCATATGTATGTTCCAGCTGAATGAAGTCCTTTAGATATTTGTTTGTTATCCTTGTATCCAGATATATATATTTGTATTGAATTCAGCACAAACCGCCGAGTGCCGAATAGAGTCCAAGTTTGGTTAACACTCACTTTCAGAACAGAGCGGGAGAGCAGGAGGTAGAGGAGGGAGGGAATCGCCACACATTTCAATATTATGTAATCATAAATTATGTATCTAATTGTATGTAATATGTATATCTCCATATATGCTCACCCTGATTAGCTCTACATATGTATGTATGTATATAAATACGCAATTATCGAGTTAAACACGGAAAACACGTTTCGCAAGTAATGGCTAAATTGTAAAGACTACCACATATTGAAATTAAAACTTAATACCATGTAATAAAAGATAATTGAATTCAAAAGTAAGCAACTACGGTTAACATTTTCATTGTACCATTGGCATATTTGCGAGAGCTTTCGCAATTTCTAACGCATCCCAAAACGGAAATATATATGCAAGAGCCTTTGTACAATGACCTAGAAATTCGATTTAACTCCCGCCCCTAATATTAAATACAGTTTAATTTTATAACAGACATTATTGAACAAATGTTTACTAAAACCAAACGAAAACAAAGAGAAATCCTAACTTTAAAAGCATGCAAACAATGAATGTAGGAAATCAAAAGTGAAATAAAAAGTTAAGACAAAATGTAGCGGTTACAAATCATTTAACCAACTTTGGTTTTCTGTTTCTGGTTGGTTGGTTAATTGGTTACCCTTTTGAATGATGCTTCTAGCAATTAGTGGGTACAGTTCTGTTTTATTTTTCCTTAACAAACCCTATTTAAGCCCGTCTAAATGAACAAGACAAGGCGCTTGATTAGTAGTTTTCACCAAAAAGCTTAATCCATATATCAATTTTGTTTACAAGTAAATTATTCACTTCTGTCTTTTGTCGCTTGAAAATCTAAAATAAATACGAGAAATAATAGTGCTCTCCGTTAGTGAAGATTAAATATTCTGCTTTATACAAGGATCCTCAGAATCACTGCATCATTTGTCCCACAGTCCCAGCTCGCGCATTTTGGTTTGGAAGTAGCGCTCCAGGGAGTTGGCACATCGATAATACTCGGTGTCGGGTGAGTTGTAGAACCGACAGTTGGAAAAGATGCGGGCCATGTCCGCCATGAACAGGCGGCGTGTTTGGTAGTAACCCTTCTTCAGACGCTCGCCCATGGTCTTCAGGTCCATGGGATACTTGATATGGTCGTAGTAGTCCGGAACCTCGGCCGCAGTCACCGGACGCAAGAAGGGCCAAGCGGTGGTGTGCTGGCGCACGGACTGCAGCACGGATGCGAAGGACGTGGCCAGCTTCTCCGGATCGGAGGACTCCTCCAGGGGTCTGGCTGACCTTGCCGGACGCATTTGCGGCTTCCAACCGATCTCCCGAAGACCAGGAATCGACTCGACGGGTATGGAGGGCAGACCCTCCTTAAAGCAAGTGAGACCGGGTCTTACTTTTTGCACCTCGTTGTGCCGCTGGGCTATCAGTTCCTTCAGAATCTCGCTCTGATTGCGAATCACTGGAATGGAGAAACGTAGAGTAAAATATGCCCTTAATTTGCCTTTGGGGATCAACTAACCGGCAATGAACTGCGTGTTTACAATGCTCGGATGCAGCTCGCAGTGCATCAAAGTGGCGCTATCGTACTCCTTGATGTAACCGGCGTACACCGGTCGCGCCAGCTTAATGTCCTTGGAGAAACCCTGTTTCTTAAAGTACCCAATGGCATCGCAATCGGCGAATGTGAGCAGATGTTTGATGCCCCTCAGGATACTGTAGTCCTTCAGGTGGTTCATCAGGTGCGTTCCATAGCCCTTCACTTGTTCCGACATGGTGACCGCGCAGAACACAATCTCCGTGAATCCCTGCGTGGGGAACGGACGAAAGCATATGCCACCGATGGGCTGGTTTTCCTTAATCAGCGCCAGAGTCTTGTGCTTGGTGTCGAAGACCAACTGGCTGATATACTCGCGAGGCATCTCGGGCAGCTGATAGGCGAACACAAGCTGCAGGCCCAGGAGCCACAGAACCGTCTGCTTGTCCACCGGCTTGGTCAGCGAGTTGCCCACCACATGGAACTCGATGGCCCGCTTCTGCTCCTCTGCCTTGACATTCTCATCGCGGGAAACATTCACCGGGAAGAGTATCTCTGCCTTGTTGGTGGTCTTCGACTCCGACACCGATTTCATGGCCCGCATCACAACATCCGGGGGCAGATCATCCAAACTCTCACTGGGGGTTGAACCATTAATAACTGATTTTAAAATAGATTTTAATAACCAACCTGCTGCATCGATCTGTGGGCTCCTTTTTGATTCTCTTGTGCAGAGGTTCGCCCACACTGGCTCGCTTGGCGCCTCCTATGGATGCCACACTGGCACCTGGAGCTGCGGGCGCCACCTCCTGGTGTCGCTTCCTCTGCTGGATGACGAACGAGTTGGGAGGCCGGTAGTTGGGATCCCAAATGGGCGAGTCATCCTTCAGCAGTTCGGCACGAAGGGCCTCCAAAAACTTGGGCATCTGTGTGATGATCGAGCGCTTGTCCTCGGGAAAGCGGTCCCGCTCCGAGATGCACTTCTTCTTCAGCTGCTGGGACATGTACTGAAAGACAGTGCGGAGGAGTGTGCGTCCAAAGACCAAGGACGTTTCAAATTGGCGCAGGGAGTTGCAGAAGGCGGGCACGTGGCAGAAGACCAGCCAGCGCGTGTAGTTGATCTTGTAGTTCGACGCATCCTCGTGGGTGAGATCTCCCCTTCTGGTTGATGGCGATTCAAAGTTGTAATGGTTCAGAAAGTTCAGGAACGTCTTGCCCACCTCGGTCATGGTTTGCAGTTCAGTCGGGTTGAGGTGGTTGTACTTGTAGAAGACCAGCGACAGCACCGCCTTGGTGATGCAGGGCGACTCGAAGGGCGGATCGCCCAGCGGACCGCGGATCACAGCCTGCTGGCGCGTCAGGACGCACTGGCGCAACAAGCGGAAGAGATACAGATACACCTTCTTGGTATCCTCATCCTCGACGCGCTGCATGGACATGAACAGGTTCTCCATGTCTATGATGGCGCCCAGCAGCTCGTCCATGCTGGAGCTGGAGATGTTGTCCAGGTGGGCGATGTGCATCCGCAACGAATGGCGGCAGCTGGCGTTCCGGCACTCCTCGTTGAACTCCGGACAGTAGGAGGACTCCACGTCGCGGTGGCGGTTCTCCTGCGGCGTTTTCCATCCGGTGCAGCGGCATCCTTCCGACTGGCAAGCGGAGTACATGGAGAGTTTAGCCAGTTTCTGGGGCACGGGCAGGTTGAAGACCTTCTGCTTCCGCTGCTGGATCCTCTGGAGGCTGTTCTGCCTGGTTCCCTCCGCCGGAACACTTCCGCCGCCTACTGCTCCTGCGTTTCCGGGAGTTTGGGCCTGCACCGAGGAGCCAGGGGCTCCAGATGCCCCAGCAGTTGCTGCGCCATTCGCATTTGCCTGCTGCTGCTGCTGCGCTGCAGCGTTCCCAGTGTTGTTACCATCGATGGGTTGGCTTTTTAGCGTTATGGATGGACCACCAGACATTCCAATCACCAGATAATGCGATTCTCTCGGTTACTTTTGCACAAAGTGTACTTTTTCCCCTTAATTTCACAAGCGACACAATGGGCTGACCACTTGCTGTACACGAAAAAGGGCTGCCAACCTGGGATTTTCTCCTTTATTTCTCTTGATGGTGAAATAAACATTAAAACTTGTATATATATTTTATAACATTATGAAGTTTTATTCTTATATTTATTATCAACAACTTTATTTTAATTTCACAAAGTAAAAATATTCATGGGCATAGTTAATAAATTTCAAGTTTTTCTAAAAGGGGTTTGGTTCTGTTGGATATACACATTTTACGATTATGAAGATTTCTAAATGTTAATAGGAATCCGAGTCAAATGTATAAATGTTTTAAAATTAAATTTATTTGTTAAAAGCTTAAGAAAAAAATAAATTATTCTACCATTCTTAATCATTTTAAGTCAAAAATTTATAAGTTATCATTAACTATATTTATTTAAACTCAATTGATTTTGTCGCTAATAACATTAAAAATATATATATTTATATCTTAATGTTAGTATTTTTTAAATAAACTAAAATTTGGCAGAGAAATGTTTTCCGATTTTTATTAAATCCCTCAAACAACCCCCAAAAAAAGTTGGACTACGCCCATGTGTACATCTGTTTTTGTTTGCAGCTGATGTAAAATGCATTTGAAGTCATACATTCCTTTTGAAATTACCGCCTGACTAAGCAAATGGAAATAAATGAAAGTTTCGATGATGTGGAAGATCAGCTGGATAATTTCGTCATCCGGAGAAACCAACAAAAAGGAAAGACAACTGATTCCGAAGAGTCCGGACCAAAGATTCACGAAAATATACCCCTAACTCTATGGCACATTTTACGGGCAAGTGAGGATTCCGAAAGAGAAAATGTTTTTATAATTCGTGATAAAGCCAACAATCCCATACACTTTCGCACCTGCATTGTCTATGGTTTCGTGATTGGATTTGGAACCCACAACGAGTGCTTCAGTAAATACTTAATTGATGATAGCACGGGTTCTCTGGAGGCGAGTATTGCCAAAAAGCCGGGCAATCGGCTGGTAATATCTAGCCTTCACAACGAAGTCACTTCCCTTGGCTCTTCCGAAGCCTTCAGACCCACGGCCGAAAGATTAGTCAGACTTTTGAAGACCGCCATGGAATATATAGACCCCTCACCCATAACAAGAGGCCATAACCTGTACCTGCGTGGTCGCCCCAATTATTTCAGAGGAGTAGTGGGTATGGATGCCTTCCAATTCTTCATTGACAGCGGCAGATCCCGGAATATGGAAATGGGATTCGCGGATTACTTAACAGACTGGCACAACAACTACAGCACAACTTAGCGTAATGCAAACAAAGATTGAATATTTTTTTGTATTGAAATTTTACTGGTAATAAAAAATCAAATTTTAAATAAAGAGAATTTAGGTTGTTTTTGCTCGAATGGCGGCACGTTTGCCGGTGACAGCCTGGAAACCTGACTTGATGCTGGCCACCGAGCAGCGGGAGCCGCAGGACTCGCACTGCAGGAAGAACAGGCGCGTGTCCTTCTGCAATATCGTCTCCGGGGAGCGGCAGGTGTGACAGGTGACATACTCCTTGATGTAGCGACGCAGCACGTTCTCGATCTGTTTGGGCTGGAAACGGCCCTTGATGATCAACTGCTGGTTGCCGTCCATGGACCCACTGGTACCCAACTCGGCCAGCAGGAAGTCGAGCAGATGCTTGGGCAGGCGATGCAGTGTTTTCGCAATGTCCATGAAGTTGGCAAAGGAGGTCTTCTTGGTACCCACGCGCAGCACTTGTGGCGGACGCATCACGAACTTTGGCTTGCGACCGGCGGCCATGTCCGGATTCTTGTCGAGAATGATTTCGAAGACCCGCTTCAGCAACTCGTCGTATGTGTAGTCACGATCGGAACCAAACCAGGTGGAACTGTTGTCCTCCACTGTAAAAAAAAGAAATTGATTAAAAGCTTTCACGCTTACATTTGTTTATAGCGTTGAGGCATATGCCTTGCATTTGTGAAATGCTAAATGCAAAACCTATGATAGTGATATTCAATCAAATATAATTGTAATAATGTAATAGCTAATAAAACAAAATGAACTTAAAACTTCTCAAAATGATAAAACCCTCGTCAAGCCAATGCTACGTGTGAAACCTAATCCCAGTAGTCACCGTACCATTCTCTTTGTCTTCGCTCCTGTCTTCGTCCAGTTTATCCGCGAACAGCTCGTCCAGGTCCTTCTTCTTGCTCTTCTTCTTCTTTTTGGCCATCGAGAAGTCCATGTCCAGGTTGATCTCTTCCTCCTCGGGCTCCTCGGTGGCGACCACATCGTCGCCGGGGAAACTAGGGATTGCGGCCTCGATTTCGTCCATGTTAAATGGCTTCTTCTTCTTTTTCTTCTTCTTGCCGAAGCTCTCCAGATCTAGATTATCCTCCTCGGCGGCGGCTCCACCTTCTACCGAAGCCTCGTCCTGCGGGTCCTCCTTCTTGCTGTCGTCCTCCAGGCCCAATGCCGCGTCCAGGTCGAAGGTGGTCTTCTTCTTCTTCTTCTTTTTCAACAAAGTGGGATCGAAACCCTGTAGAATTCATTGCAAGATTCGGAATGGTTAGAAATCCGGATAGGTAAAACATAACCTCATTGTTCGCCCAAGTGCTCATACACAAACAGGTAAATACACATACACACACACACACAAGAGCGCACATGTACGCACATATGTGCGCTTTCCAGGATGTTTTCAAGCATTTTAAACTTATGCCCCGGTGTTTTTCCAACTTACGTCTTCTGCGTCCATTGTGTTTATGCTTTTTTAATACTCTGTGACTTGAAATTAATTTGATATTAACTAAAAAACTGCAATTGCATCAGCCAAAAAATGACAGCACGGCAAAAGCGTAGAGGTGGACAAAATTCGATAAGACAGGCGGGGATAAGCGATGTAATTCCATCTCTACATGTGGAGGGTGTCACCGCTACATATGGAGGGTGTCACTGCTTCATATGGAGGGTGTCAATGCTACATATGGAGGGAGTCACTGCTACATATGGAGGATGTCACCGCTACATATGGAGGGTGTCACAGCTACATATCGAAGGTGTCGCCGCTACATATGGAGGGTGTCACCGCTACATATGGAGTAAGTCATCGCTGGGCGGGGCAGTGTGACCACTTTGTGGTTTGTCAGTGTCGGCGGCAACACTTTTTTGGGCGCTTTATATACGTTTTAAATTTTAAATTTAATATGAACCACCAAAAGGAAAATGGCAAGATAGCCAAATGTATATAAAAACAGGCAACATTATATTTTAAAATAAAAAAACAAATGTGGATCCATTTATTTGATAGAATACATTTGATCTCATCTAAAATCCCAATATGTTTACCCGGCTAAATATTATTATTTGCCCTTAAATAAAATTAAACTCCTATATTAAATTATTCATATTTTTTTTAGGAAATAGCAGTACAAAATTTATTTAGGTTATCAGCATTTTTTATAATTTCTTCAGTTACAGCTAGTAGTTCAACAAAAAAAAGCTCTTCAATCATGCATAACAAACTACAAAGCACATAACTCCCACAAAATAAATAAAACTTTATATTTAGTGGTAAAAAACATCTCATCTTTAGAACATACAAGACAGTGAACAGTTACAGTATAAATGCGTTTGAGAGTTAAGATATTTAAGTTTTTAAGTTACTGAGCGAGCACCTAAAATTAAAAGAGATTTATTGCTCCAACTAGGACCTGTGTCGATTCATTTGAGGTTGGTTCGTTTTTTCGCTTAAAGATGGGCACTGTTGGGTTTCGTCAATTCCGGGCCAACGCCTCCGGCCAGTTTCTGCACCAGAAGTCCCACTTCGTAGGCAAGGGTATCGGTATCCTATGGGGAAATTAGAAATGTAAGTGACCTTCCAACAATAACTATGATTCAAAGGCTTACCTCTTTTGTGGCCGCCTCGGCATAGACGCGCACCACATCCTCTGTTCCCGAGGGACGCACAAAGGAGCGACCCCTTTTGTAGTTGGCCACCACCTTGTTGATCTCCGTCTGCAGACCCTCCGGCTTCACGCATACTCGCTCCGCATCCGTGGTCTCGATAACGTTCCGATCCTGCACCTTGACCTTCAGTTGTCGGTTGGGCAGGTCATTGTACGACGAGATCCAGTCCTGCACGTCCCAGCCCTTGTGGTTCAGGATGGTTTCCACCAGCAGCATGTCCGAAATGGCATCGCCCACCGTTTCGTTGATCAGATCGATGAGGAGCAACAAGGTCTTGGCACTGTCTTTCGTTTCCGCAGCTTGGGCGATTGTGGCCTTTGCATTGTCACTGAACACAATCGTTCCGTGACCATTCGCTTCGAAATAAACACCGATGTCGTACTCCAGAGCTTTGTGGTGCAGGTGCTTAACGCCCGTGGGAACACAGGAAACGGGGAACTTCAGTTCATCCACTATATAGTCTGTCGAGGCTCCATTGGCGTAGGCGGTCTGCACCAGGCCCAGTCTCAAGTCGATCTCGGCCTGCGTGACCAGTTCCATGAGGAAGCCAGCGACCAAAGTGGCTATGCGATCGCCATCCAGTAGGTGGAACTCGCCCTTGTCGTCGCTGAAGAAGTATACCACCCGATCGGCATCTCCGTCCACGCTGACACATCTCGTAAAGGGTTCCACCTCGGGCATGGATTTCGGCGGCCTCTGCTGGACCTTCACGTAGTCGGCGCCGCAGTCCTCGTTGATCTTGCCCACACCCACGCCCTGGTTTATGACCGTCACATTCAAGGAACCCTTCATGCGCTTGATGAACTGCAGCATTTTGCGGGCACCCACTCCATTGGCGCCATCGTAAATGATATTGTTCCGATAGTTTCCGTTCTCCAGGCGCCCATTTCGCAGCAGTTCGAAGGACTTGATCAGCTTATCATAGTATCCCTCCTCCGTGGGTTTGCCGTAGGCCTCCTTCGTATTCGCCGCCACCACGAAGTAGTGCAGCATGGGCGTGGTCACGATGCCGTACTCCTTGACGTTTCCCTTCAGCGCTATTACTCCATCGGCCACCGCTTTCAGCAATCGCGGACTGTGGTATCTGTTGTCCATGCCCACAAACACCTGGGAACTTGTAGTCACATCGATGTTATTGTCCTTGATAATCTTGGCCACCTGCTGCTCCAGTTCCTGGTCGCTGACATTGACCAGATCGGTGGCTATCGCCTCCCAGCTGGCCTCCAGCATCTCTCCCTTGGGATCGACCAGCTTCACTCCGTTGTCTGGCTCCGGATTGTGCGATGCCGTGATCATCACGCCGATTACGGAGCCTCCACGAAACCGGGATCGCAAGGTGGCCAAAACTCCCATGCGGAACATCACGCTGTCCAGGAATTCGGCTCTGAAATAAATTAAATGTTTTATTATTTATAAATACATATAGATAGTTTTTACAATGTATCTTAAATTCATAAGATTTAATGTTTAACATCCCAAAGACTAAAAACACAGATCTAGAGTAAATAATAAATATTGAACTAAAAAATATTAGTGCTCTTTGGGGATTATGAGTCCTTAATCATTTTTATAAAATGTAAAATTCTGTTAACAAATTTTTTATTCTTGTATTTAAGTATATAATTTACGATTTCTGGAAGTCGTATATTAAACGGAATGACGAATCACCAATTAAATATTGTAACTATCTATTTTAACACTTTATCTTTTCAGTAGATTGTAAGGCCAATAAAAGTACAGTATTGTTCAAATAATTAGTAACTTCATAGATTATATTATAGATATCCATTATACCGGGAAATGCTTAAGGGGTTTTTCATTTTATCAGTGAAGTAGATAAGCTTTATTATCTTGCTTACATTGGATGTGGTTAGTGGTTAGAAAAATAGGTCGAATAACCACAAGATAAAATATTGTCATATCCATTACATATGTACTTCAAAAGGTGCAAAAATATATAATACAAAAAATAAAATATTTAAACTGTTATCTAACGTAACCTGAATATGATACATATTTTGAGAATTTAAAGACATACTTTTTTAATTCAATTAAATATATCAACGTATAGACCAAATTAGATATTCCCCAATGGAATTAATGTTAACATAAATAAGTCTCTTCTTATCGATTATGACCACTACATTGGTAGCCAATTGCACTTGCAAAACTATTTTGGTGACCTCTACTGTGCGTACGTACATATGTATGCCCCCATGCACATGCACGCCCCTAAACACATACAAACATACTTGCAGGCGAAAGAAGGGCATGTCCATTGATAAAAGGTGAACAATATCTAAAAATAAACCCGAATCCCAACAACACGGTTCATGCAGTTGCCGTACTTATCGTAAAACAAACAATAACTATTTGCTAATCAATTGCGGCCAACGTATGCAACGTGTGGGTGTTAACATAATGATGATTAACCCGAATTTCGTTAATTAAGACAACTTACTTGCCGCGAAAGCCAGCTGTTCCATATTGAATGGTTTCCTTGGAGGTTTTTGGGTACATTTCCCTGGCGAACGCGTAAACGGTGCGCAGATTAATAGACATTTTGCGATAGTTAAAGGCGGAACAACTGGTACAAAGCAAGGTGAAAGATATCCGTCCGGTTTTCCGGAGCAGCTTTCGAAATTTACAAATTTCACAGATGTGTGCTGGCGGGTGTGACCGTGTGTAGTCCTATTACCGTTGCATTTCCCTAGCGCCACAATATGGGCATACATTTTTGTAACTTTAAATAGTTTTCATTTAATTATGTTGTTAATTGAAAATTAATTACAATAAGTCCCGTTTTGTGAAGTAACCCTTCATTCTTGGTGAACAGCCCTTTTAAAGTGGAAAACTGTCTGGCGTTGCCACTGCCGCACCCAAAACATATGATTCACAGTTTGAATTTGGCGGGAACAGTTGCGGTTAAGATTATAGAATTCTTTTTCTTTTATATTAGAAACTATATTCATTTATGCAATTAATATAAAACCGTTGCAACCTATACGTAAAATTCATAATTAAAATCTAAAATAAAGAATTAGTTAGTCTGTAATATATAAATGTCTTTAATGACCATTATATCTGAATTATTTATAAGATATATATTTTTTCAAAGTTTAGTCTTGTTTAATAAAATATAGATAAAAAAAAATTATTTTGTGAATTAATTCCTATTGATTGTAATAATAATAACCAAGCGCTTGTTCCTTTTGTTATTTTATTTGTATACTTATAAAAGATTTGTAAATGATTCGACTTACACTTTCTAGGTACAAGTTTTTGGACGGACTTAGTTGGTATGTACACAAACAAATACTATATTAAGGCACAGGCACTTTATAAATAAAATTATATTCAGATATTACTCTGCTTCAGGGAATATTTTTTCGGACGGAAGGGATTTTTCTTTGATACTTAAAAATATTTGGAATGTAAAACGTTGATATGTTTCTCCTTGTGCTAGAGATTCTTGTACAATTCTGAAATCTTACCGAGTCTATTAATTTAGAGCATTGCAACTAGAGAGGCCACGAGAAGGAGGCCCACGGATAAGGATAATGCCGATGCACCAGCATAGCAATCGGTGATGCGGCGAGCTCGCATAAAATCGCTGCCCAAATAGGAATCGTAGCGTCGTTTGTTCGTTGGAATGACTTTCAACTGCCGCGTGGCATCCTGGAAGATCAGATCGTAGTGTCCAATGGGCGAGGAGAACATGCTAAAACTGAAGGCGTCCACTTCCTTACGGCCGTACAGTTGTTGGGCATAGGTCAGCAGGTTGATGTAGGCATTCATTTGGGTCTCGTTGTAGTTGACTCCTCCGCGAGTGACGACGGCATTGGCCTTTACCTTGCCGAGATTACAGCGCTTGTATTCGTGAATTTCGGCACGGGTGCCATCAGTGCAAAGGAGTTCAAAATCGTCGTTGAGAGCATTCCTTGCCCACCACTCCTTGCGCTTGCCGCCAGTGCTCTCCATCACCGTGGTGTGCTTCATGAAGGCCACATGTCCGCCACCCTCCACCAAGCACCTGAATGCACCCGTATGTCCGTAGTAATCCTCGGAGGCATCGCGTCGACAGTATCTGTAGCTAGTTCCATGACACAGATCACACATGCTATCGTAGGGCACTCCAGTATTGTATTCACTGCTAATCGCACCCGGAACACAAGACTTGGTGAAGTACTCGGCGGCAGCCCGAACCGAGTCGCATCCGTACGGGCGAATCCAGCCGTTCGAGATGAACAGAGCCATCGGATAGGTCCAGCCAGCGGCGGTGTTGATGCCCGTGTGGCAGGTATTCTTGCCCTTTAGGTACGTTAGCTCCGTGTCGGGATCCTCCTCCTTGGCCACAGCCACCACATAGTACTCCGGCTCGCCCAGATTGTACACCTCCGACATGAACGGGACCAGGTCGTAGTTCAGTCCGCCGGTGTAGACATCTCCGGCATCGAAAACCGAAATATCAGCCTTGCCCGCTTCGATGAACTGCATGCAGTTTATGTGGGAGTGCATTTTCTTGCAGATGAGTTCCGGTTTCAAAAGATGCGCTTTCAGGGCAGTCTGCAAAGATTTGTAAGAAATATTGTAAATGATTCATTTAATATTTAAATTCAAATTCTTCTTTAACTTACCCTCATTCTGATACACTTCTCGAGTTCGTTCTCTGAAGTCACGCAAAGGGTCATCGCCGGAACAGGACACTCGCGAATGCCGTAAATAAAGTTAATGGCAGGGCCCAAATACTTTGTAAACGACTGATCATCTTCAGGGATAACAGTGAGAGCCCGGCTTGAGTCCTTTAATGAAATATTTGCATTACAATTGGCTGAGATTAAAGTAAATTTCAATAACAAACCTGGAAAAGCAAATTTGGCTTGCCATATCGTTTCGACTCGAAAATGCGGAACTTCTCATAGAGAATTGAAGTGTTGGTGCCGTCCTGCGGATTTCTTTCTGGGGAGAAACTGCTGTCCAAGCGTTCACTGCGGTACTGATCGTATTGGTTTTGGTTTCTATAGGGGTCATTACTGTTAAACTGATCGTAGGCGCCACTTTGACTCTGTTCGTTGTAATTATTGCGGTTGCTGAACCCTTGACCGCCCTGCCTGTTTTGATCGTCACGAATTCCATCGGAATACAACTCCGCGATGCGTTTCAGGAATTGCTGATATTGCTTTCGATCGCTGAAGCTGCGTGCTGAAGATGTCACAATGGCATCGGCGGGAACTTGGCCCCAATTACACTGTCGATAATCATTAATGGGAACACGACGGCCATCGCGACAAAGCAGCTCAAAAGTGTCTGGTTTTATGTTTTCTAAAATTTCAGTAAAGATTAGTAATGGGTTCTTTTTGAACAAGATATAAAAACTCACTGAATTCGGTGGTCTGCAGCATTTCATTTACAGTCGAATGGCGCAAAAAGGCAACATCTCCTTTCTCCATCAAACACTTGAAGGCGCCTTCGTATCCAAAGTAGGGATCTGCAGCCGAGCAGCGTCCTCCGGGAATCTTGCCAGTGCACAGCGTACAAAGTCTGATCAAAAAAGATTATTTATAAGATGGGCTTTATAAAATCAAGCTCTGATTGAGCCTTACTTATCTGAGTTGTCGCCAATGGGATTGTATTTGTCAGACAGCGAGTACACGGCACACGAACTGTTGAAATAGCTGGCAGCTGTCTTCACCTGATTGTTACAGTCCACAACTTCCATGCCGCCTTCCCTTTGTAGCTGTGAAATGAATATTAAATGTTTATTACATTAAAGTTATACAACATTTAAGTGATCTTTCAATTCTGAAGTAGCTCCTTTTATCAGAGGAGTAAACAAATTTGTAAAGCTTTGTGAACAGGTACTCAGTATGCTATTAAAAAATACTCTAGAAAATATTGTAAAAACAGTATTCAGTAAAAACTAAAAAACAAAGTTAAATTTATGATAATTTGTTTATATGGCAAGGTGTTAAAAATAATTGATATTTTCAAAACTACATTTCCAAAGGCGACAATTTCTTTAAGTGCACATTTTCTGACATTTTTAGTTATAAAACTGAGATGGCAATTCTCACCGCGTGAATGGGCACAATCCAACCGGCCAAACTGCCCACCCAGGGGAAGCAGACCCTCTTGTTTCGCATGTCGCGGAGATTATTCAAGTCAGGGAGTGATCCTTTCTTCACCACGGCCACGGATTGATAGTCCGAAAAGCCGCCCTCCAGTTTTTCCTGCATGATGGGTATAAGGGAATTGTATCGTCCCGCCGTGAAGACATCTCCGGCGTCCAGCGAGGTGATGTGCGCCTTCTCGCGATCGATGTGGTGGATGCACTCATCCGCACTGTAGGCCATGAAGCAGGTGAGATTCAGGAACACCTCGTCGAATAATGCCCGATCGCGTTCGATGGCCACCGTGAGATTCTGGCACTTGTACTGCTCCTCCTGGCTCTTGGTGCACCAGATGAGATGGCTGGTCTTGTGCTCGTCATAGTGGTGTTGTGCTGGAATATGCAAAATCGAGGTTTACGAAAATTCCATGACAACGCCCTTAGAAATCGAGCATGTTTTGGATTCCGGCGGGAACTTACCGTTAGCGAGGGTAAAACATAAAGCGCCGACTAGAGCCACAAAAACGAGGCTTCTAGCCATTTTTAGTAAATAAGTAAATTAACTAAAAACAGCAATCTTGAAAACAATTACTCAAACAATACACCACACCCAAGCCCAGCTCAAGATTGTCGGTGTGACCGGATGAGTGAAGGTAGAATATACCGGACTTCGAACAGAAAAATACCAACAGGTATCTACAGTGAATATCGGTTGAGAGTGAGTGCAAAATAATAGCCCATAAACTAGCGTTTTATTTGTTCTTTCTTTTTTTTAACATTAAATCAAACTTAAAAATGAAGTAAAGAATCTTAGAAAATATAAATAAGTTTGTATTACTGGAAGTACAAACAATTGATTCTACAAAGGCAAGCATTTCAAGGTGGACAATTTACTTCTCGCGTTTTGTAATCTTAAATTGCCATTAATTAATCTTAAACTCGAATATTTCAGTGCTATTGTAGTAGTTGTCATAACCAGTTTCTACTGTACTGCACGGTAAACACACCACTTTGGTGTGACCTTACAAGCGGTGTTTTTTAGCCCCTTACGATCGAACCAGGTGTTTTGTGTTTTATAATAACAAACCGAGAAATCAAATTAATTAAATTCAATTTAAGCAGGTACAAATAAAATGGCAGTTCTACGTGGGTGGAGATTTGTTGGCTTCGTGTCCTGTATCGTTGGTGCCGTGGGCTTAACACTATATCCTGTGATTGTGGACCCGATGCTGAACACCGACAAATACAAATCCCTGCAGGAATACAGCAAAATAAAAAGAGATGAACTGGAGCATATAAGAAGGCAGTAAAAATCCCGTTTATTAAACTACAAGAGTACACTTAAGAACCCTAATATGTTTAAATTCTGTTAAAATGAATTGACAGTACAATGTTCATATTCGATATTGTATTCTGTTTAAATACAAAAATAACAAAAGCTGTCAATTAACAGCATGAAGTAAGTAAATAAAATTTTGTTTAATTATACAATTAAGTACACTTTATCATAAGGATTTAAAAAAAAAGTAGTATTATGGTAGTATTATATTTTATTATATATTATAATTTAAAATATAAATTATGAGTGTATTGTATGGTTCCTGAACTGGTTCCCAACCGCTGTAGTAAAGCTTTAGGGTATTTCTCACCAACTCGTTGCCGCTTACAAAGTTCTTTATCTCAAATCATACGTGGACATAATTATTTGGATAAAAAATAGCTGCGATTTCGTAATTAGACTCATGCAAAATGGGCACTGCCACTCTGAAACGTGACGAAATCCTCCTGCTCTTCGATGTGGACGGCACTCTGACGATGCCTCGATCCACGGTGACCCCGGAGTTCGAGGAGTTCTTCTACTCGAAGGTTAAACCCAGGGCCACCATCGGCATTGTCGGAGGATCCGACCTGGAGAAGATGTTCGAGCAGCTGAACGGCCAGAAGATCCTCAACGAGTTCGACTTTGTATTCCCGGAGAATGGGCTGGTGCAGATTGAGGGCGGCAAGGAGGTGGGCAAGCAGAACATCATCAAGCATCTGGGAGAGAAGACCCTGAAGCGCTTCATCAACTTTGTCCTGCGATACCTATCCGAACTGGATGTGCCCATCAAGAGGGGAACTTTCATCGAGTTCCGGAATGGCATGATGAACGTGTGTCCCATTGGACGCCAGTGTACCAGGGAGGAGCGCAATATGTTCGCTGCCTTCGACATAGAGCACAAGGTGCGGGAACAAATGATCAGGGACCTCAAGAAGGAGTTTGCCGACGTGGATCTCACGTACTCCATTGGTGGTCAGATCAGCTTCGATGTCTTCCCCCATGGTTGGGATAAAACCTACTGCCTGCGACATATCGAAGCCCACTACAAGTTCAAGGAAATCCACTTTTTCGGAGATAAAACAGAGCCGGGCGGCAATGATTATGAGATTTATAGCGATCCCCGAACCATCAGCCATAGAGTATACACTCCCAAGGATACGGAACGCATTCTCACTGAGATTCTGGAGCTGTGAGACAACTGAGCTTACTCAACATTCAATAATATTCCATTTTTTATATATGTGTACGATTGTTAACCAAATTTAATATATAGTCATTTGAAGTTAGACTAATCTGTATCCATATCCGAGTCGTCGAAGCTGTCCTCATCGTTACTGCTGCATTCCTCGTCGGAACTACTGCTATCGCTATCCTCCCAGACGTGAGCCTTCAAGTTATTGGGTATTATAACCTTCCACTCCAGTTTGTGCAAATCCAGGGAGTAGAAATCGTTGTAGGTCAACTGCTTGGCGTCCTCCTCAAAGATGCCACCAAAGATATAAAGTGTTCCCTTGCAAACGCAGAGTCCGGGATTCATGCGCGGAGAGGGTACATTCGATGGTTTGGCTTTGGGGAAAAGGCTGGGTATGTTGGACACATATGGAGTACTCGTACTTGGTCCTCCAACGGTGACCGTAAAAATCCCATCTGTTGTGGTGGTCACGGGCTTATCTGGAGCGGACATTTCAACATCCTTGCTCTCGTCCGTTTCCTTTTTCTCAGCGGGACTGGTTTTCGCCTGGATCTCCTGCAATCTCCACGTTTGAGAGGTCAAATCGAAGGCCAAAAGATCATCGCCAAACTGTCCATGGACATCTTCGTCGTCCTCATCGACGTCCATAACACCGCCGAAGGTATAGGCCTTGCCATTGGCAGCCACAGTGCAGCCAACACTGCTCCGGGGCTTGGGCTTATATCCTCCGGCCTTCACGGGTGCCCACTTGTACTTGTTATCAGCATCGCCAGCGTTTTCTAAAATAAATTGTTTAATAATAATTAATATTCGGATTATATTTAGTAGCTTTGTTGTTCCTAAAAACTTACTGTCTTGACTCAAAACGAACATATCCGTGTGAGTTACTCCACGATCCGCTTCCTTTTTCATAGAGGCCCTTGAGTAACCTCCCCAAACATAGATTTTGCCTTCCGGAGAAGCGGCTATACAGCAGCCAGATCGAGGGGATGGTACAATAGTTCCTCCGATCTCGGTTTTTAGCCATTGATAAGACTCCAGCGAGAAGATGTGAAGATCGTTAAAGTAATGATACGACTGGTTGTTATCATGGAAGCCGCCAAAGATAAACAAACGCTTCTTAGAGACGGTCATTCGATGACCACTCCTAGGACTTGGTCCATTGGGCGCAGATACTTTTTCCCATTTGCGGGATTTCAATGAAAACTTCCATAAATCCTTGTAGTGGTGGAACTGCAGCTGAGAAGGACTGGCATGCTCTCCTCCAAACATCTGTAAATGAAGGTTTTTATTTAAGGATTTCTAGGTAAATTTAAGATGGGCAACTCACCCAAAGTTCTCCTCCATTACTAGCCACAGCCACCATTTGGTGTCCACTTCTGGGCGTGGGTCCTGAAGGCGATTTCAGCTCCCTCCACTCGCCAGTTTTAATATTATAAAAGTACAAATCGTTGTAAACTGAGGTCTTTGTTCCCGTATAAAGTTCTCCACCAAACATGATGAGTTCCTCCTTCTCCGGATGGGAAACTAGGGTGAAATTAGAGCGGGGAGATGGCGGCAAGCAAACAGATTCACTAATGGTCTCTATTTTTCCCTCCTTGGCCTCTAACAACTGGATTATATCAGCTATATTTGCCTATAAAAATAAATTTAGCTTTAGTAAATATGATATGATAGTGACAATATTCATTCTTACTTCTCCCAGCTTTTCCAGCATTTTCTTTTGCCGTGCTGCCTGCTTTTTGTCCGTTTTCATGGCCGTCTTCTCGGCTCCTTTGCCCTTCTTCTTGTTCTTGTCCTTCTTGCCCATTTTATAAGGATTAATTCGGCTTACAAATTTAAATCAACAAACAATTTTAGCCGCACGTGTACTCGTATTTAGTTTAAAGAGGAAGAGCTGTATTTTTTAATACCAGATACTTGTTGAGAACTGTCGACGGAATTGTGAGAAATACCTTAACGCGTTTTTTGAAAAGTAAGCGCGCGATTAGAATCTAATTAGAATATTTAAATATTTAAAAAAAAATATAAATACAAACAGAACATAGCTTTATAGGATAAAAGTCTTATTAAAGAAACTAGAATTTAAAAATAAAACAAACACAATACTTATTTTTTAAATGCAACAAACACATACGAATTTTAATTTTATAAAAGAAAAGAATACATAATTCATTGAACGGATTTTAGCCTTAATGCCTATGCAAACTTAAGTTCTAAGCAATAAAACGTTAGAATTGAACTTTTACAAACACAAAAAATGTATATCTTAAACAATGTTTTCTTAATAAAACAAATACTTTCATGATTACTTGGTCAATGTTATAAGTTGTATGGTATGTAGACATATTAGGCTTCAGGTTTTTAGGATTGTGATGGATTGCTGCTTGAAGAGCCACGACAATTTACCGACCAACTGGAGTCAAATCCACAGGCGGAGTCCGAATCGGAATCCACGGCGAAGGAAGTGGCGATGCCTTTGGGAGCCCGCAACTGATTCGGAGTGGTGGGCATGCTACTATAGCCACCGTTCAAATTGGAGCTGGAGTTCGAGGAGCAGATGGAGTCTCGGGGCGAATCGGTGGCATTCGAGGCGTATGACGAACGCTTCGAAGACTTATTCCGCTTGCTTATGTAATCCACCGTCTTGGGCGGCGGCATCAGGTCCTCCGATCGCTGGGGTATATTGTCCGCCGATCCCCACGACTTGTGGACTCCGTCGTAGATGTTCCGGTTATTGGGAACACTCGCCCTCGACGGCAGCCCGCCGTTCGTCCCGTAGGGTGTGCTCATCGCTGCCCTCTGATTCGGATGGCGACTCCGTGTCGTACCAACGTGGTGATGATGACGCTGATGAGGGACTCGGGGAGACCGATGGTGATGGCGACTTGCTGCTCCCGTTCCCCCGCCACTGCCATAGCCCATCGGGGCCACCCCACTGCCATTGCCCACTCCCAAGAAATTGCTGAACGCTTCGGTGGTCTTCTTTACCCGGACATTCAGCGAACCAATCCGCAGGAAGCCTAAATCTTTTTCGACTGCAAACAAGGAGAAAGAGTTGTGTTAAAACCATAATTTAAATATTTTATCACACAAATCTTATTTCAAATAGGTGAAGTTTAATGAACTTTAATTAAAAAATATATTTAAGAACATTTTTATGCTTTAAGTATTAAGCAACGCTCTTTTAGAAAAAATAAGCCAAATAATATTCGGTTTTAATCTGAATTGAAATTAGAAAAAGCTAAATATACTTACTTGCATGCTTTTTGCGAGCCTTGATTTCTGTAAGTGAAATAAAAAAAACATCAAGTTCATTAATTTTTAATCAAACACAATAATGGTCATATCAAATGAACGTGCATAAACTTAAAAAAATGCCTTAAGTTAGCGGACTTTTTGAAACAATTATAAAATAATGCAGGCGATGAGGAAAAACATTGAAAAAACAAAAAGAAAACTTACCAATAGCAACGCAAACGGGCTTTGCAACTCAAATGCTTGCGAAAATAAAACTAAAGTAAAGATTTTTGGCTACCAGAGTACAAAAAAGCATATATTTACAGGCTAAAAACGAAAGGTTAAATATAATTGAAGCAAAGGTTGCAACTCAACGTTAAGCTAGCAAAATAAATTTAACATGGTTTTAATCAACACTAATGGTTTTAAAATACTCAAGATCGTTAAATCTCAACCTGCCTCCAGGTTCCGTTGAGTCCGCCGCTGAATCGCATCGCTTGAATCTCTACATGCAGCAAAATTGAAAATAGACAGAGGTTCCCATTTAATATTAATTACTAGCTCAGTTTAAAGTTCGTATACTCTACTTTTCGGTAAATTTGTTCATAATGGGCAGGCAGTTATGTTTGCAAACGAGGTTTAAAATTATTATTATTTTTTCCGCAAGCGCATTCTCTTTGTGAACTGAGAATAGGTGTCCAGGTTGGTTAAGACATTTAAATATTAATAGTTTAGAGCTAGTTTTTGTTGTGCAAATATTTTATTGTGTTTTGTATTCCAATAAACATGCGATTATATGTACACAGAAGAGTGATTACTTATATTAAGTTAATCGATACACCTGAGTAATAATATAGTATAATAAGGCCATGCTTTGATACTTATAAGTTACGTAGTTATTTTAACAAAATTTCATAGATAGTTCTTTGATCATTTCAAATGTAAAAGACTATAAAAATATTATTAGTTTAGCCCCAACCATTTGTTTTGAACTTGTTACTTATATACATTCACTTTAGCACAATTTTGGAAGGGTAAATACAGGTGAAAGATTAAAACTCAAGCCAGGGTACCAATTAACCAAGCTCTGGTGGGTTAGTAACAACATCTTTGGTGGACTGGCGACGGCTGCCACCCGCGGTGGCTCGAAAGGTTTTGCGGAGAAAGCTCTCTTTGCGTCGAGTGGAGGCGCCGCGAAAGGGCACCGGATGCCCCTCCATTTCGCAGGGCAGCAGATCGCTGTCCTCGGTGCTGGGCTTAAAGAGTCCCGCCAGTGACTGGCCCGGTGGCTTTTTGGGCCTCCGCTGCACCATCATCGACTGCGAACGACCCACCGCACCGCCGCCCCCACCCGAAGCACCACTCACGGTGGCATACCGATTCTGAGCCCGTTTCTTGCCGCGGGTTAGTGCACTGCCCAGCGTACCGCCGGTGATTTGACTACTCTCAAACAATCCCAGGTGGTAGTTGTTGTTCACCTCCGCACTGAGGAAATACTTTTGATACTCACTGCTGCACGTCGAGGCCGAGACACTCGACCGCTGGCGACTGTAGTCCAGTGGCTTGTTGCCACTCCAGTCCATGATGTCTCGATTGGCCTCTGCAAATATAGCAAATAGTGGATTAGAAAACTTTTAAAATCATAAGCAAGAGGCTAATTAAAATGTAAATAGAAGTAATAATTTGTAGTTGAAGTAACCGAAATATATTGAAAGAAATTTATTCCTCTTTAAAATTACAAAAAATTGTCAAGCTAGATTTTGATAGGAATTCTAAAAGATTTGCCATTTTAACATAAATTTTTAAAGCATAGCATTTAAAATAATAACAAATACTCACTGTATACATTCCAGAGCAATTCGAATATGTTATCTCTTCCAAATTGGGTGGCCAAGTGAAGGGGTGTGTAACCCTAAATAAAACAAATTGTTATATTAAATTACGTATTCTATACAAATAACTTTCTATATATTTTTGCCATCTAACTTTTACCACCAAAACTCATTTATTTTTAAAGATTTAAGTATTTTATTATTACAAGGTGACAAGTGTCAAGAGTCGCTTCTCAAGCCCAAGAGAATTCTATATGTGGTCCATGTAAGCAAATGTTTTGCCATTTGTGGCCTGTTTTGTAAGAACCATATCGAATTTGGCGGACTGTGATTGACAATTCACTTTGTTTCAAATGCGGATGTGACATTTTAATACATTTGAGTGAATTTAATTTCGCACGAACAAAGCATCGTTCAATTTAAAATTTTGTAAACTTGAATGCGCCGGGCAAAGGATTGAGTTGAATTGGAGGTGACAGGCTGGTGAGGCCCAATTGGATATGCTCGTCATGATTTGTCACAGCCTGCTCTCCGCTTTTGGTTCAGACTCAGTTTCAGTTTCAATCGAAAACCCCCGGGAAAGGGTTATGTTACGCGATTCTGTGACATGTGACGCACATTTACGCGCGACTCGGACAAGCCAATAAGTCGGTTCGTATATTATTAAAATTGCCTCAATAGATTTACATATCACTTACCCCATTCTGCAGCGTCAACAGTTGGCGAAAGCGATCACATGGAATGAAGGGTATATTAGAATCTTTAAGTTAACACGTTTGCATCTCAGATAATCGCTTACCGTTCTGGCATTTACATCGGCCCTATAGGTGCCGGCAATTAGCTTTACCACATCTTCGTTTCCGTGCTTGGCTGCCCAGTGCAATGCGGTCTGAAAAGATTTGGCATGGGATTAGAATGTCTTCTTAGCATGAAAGGCAGGAATTTAGTTCTAAATCAGCATACATTTAAACTAATTCGGGATTGGATGCAAGAAATACCATTTACAAAAGCAAGATAAAAACTTTATGTTGTAAATAAAAATTTAATTTAAATGATATATTTTATGTAACTAAAAATGTGTTTACTAAAAAAATAACTATTATTTAGAGATCCGCACCAAAATAAATTTTAAATTATAATCTATTTATTATAACATTATAAAAACCATAGGAAAAAAAAATATATTATTAGAAAGTTATACTATTTCTTAAAAAAAAAAAACAACATATAAGCAACATTGTCTATTCTAATGTAAGGGTTACAAATATTTTAAATTTATAATTAATAAAAGAAAGATATGTATCTCCATATTTTATACGAAAAACTTCAATGTTTAGACATTTTAATAGTTTTAAATGTTAAAACAGAATTGAGATTAGCCTATGTTCGCTCTCTGATTTGAGTTATCAGAGATATTAGTTGAGGGATTAATTGTAAACACGCTATCTGAACAGTAGCCCGGTCAGCGGTCGGTCGGTGTCCCAATCGCGTCGCAGATGCCCCAGTTGTGGAACTATTTGTACCGCCACCAATTGGCCTCTGGACCGCCGAACTCGAACCCGAGGATTCGGCGACTCAGCAGCAGCGATTCAGCTGCCGTATCCGAGATTTAGCGATATAAATAAATTGGCCAGCCACCGCCGAATGCCTGTTGCCTCAATTATTTTCATGTTAACATAATAATTTAGTATGGCAAAACGATTCGCCCGGTTGCGATAAGCGTCTGGACTGGACGAGAACTGGAGCTGGAGTTGGAGCTGAGGAGGATCGCCGGCAGATCTCGGCCAGATCGCCACCAGTGCATCTGAGGGCTGAGGCATCGGCGGTGCATGTCTGATTTTCTATAGAATTGTTTGCCGCCGCACTGCAGCCCACGTACGTATCGGCCATGTGTTGACAATGAAGACGGTCACTTTCTGACTTTCTGGACGGCGACGACAAACGCGAGGATCGCAAACGCAAACGGTCCGATCGGGTCGAACAAATAGAGTTTCAGCTTCAGTCAATTCCCATAGTCTGGGCCGATCCGGCGATCGGTATGTAATTCTTTTCAAGGGAAATTTGTTTCGTGTCTCCCGTTTAAGAACCTCCAGCTCTAAAGCTCTCCAACTCCAACTCCAGCTCCAACTCCTGCTGCTGTTGACGTAGTTATTGCTGTCGATGCATCTTAATCTGCCCAGCCTGGCATTTAATCTCGTCCATTGTCTTTCTCCAAAGCAATGATCACGGCCGGGAGCTGCAAGTTGCGAATTGCGAGCTGGGAGTTGGGAGCTGAGAGCTGCCGAGCTGGAGACTCAATACGCGGGCAGAGCAAGGTGAGCGGCGGAATGTGGGTACAATTTGGTTACAGTGATTCCGGGACTCGTCTCTATTCAATTAGCGCATTTTTTTCGTATTAGATAAGGGAAATTAAATTCTCAACAGATGCGACATGATGGCAGAAAATGAAGTTAGCACAGGCAATACAAAATAAGCGGTGAAGAGGTAATTACTTCTTTTGTTGGCATTTTGTTATTTGTTTTTTGTATATCTTTCATATTAATTATAATATTTTCTAACTTAATTCCTAACTTTCGCCTAAATAACCTTTTTTTTTAAGTTTTACATGTAATTGTGTTATTAGCTTTTCATCACAAAATTATTAAAACAATATTTTATTGATAATTCAAGACAATTTTTTTAGGAATCTTATTAGAAGTTGTTCTATAACTAAACTTAATATTAATAAATGCTTGCTTTCTTGATGCAATAATGTTTTCATCACTTCGATGCCTAGATTTGCAAGATTTTTCCATTATTACTTCAATGCGATTTTAAAAATATATAATTCATATTTAAATTCTCTTTGGTCAAGTTTGGTTCTATTTTTTGTTAGCCAAACATGCTTCCTTCTTCTAATCTCTGTAGATTTTTATATAATTGTTGTGTTGGGTTTTTAAGGAGCTCCAAGTACTATTCCCAAGTCAATAGAACTTAGAATTTATAACCAACGGGGCCTCATCTTTCCATCCATACGTTTAATTATAAAAGGGCCGAGATTCGCATCGAAGCCGGCATTGTCCGTGGATTATCGCCTTGTTAGCTGACCGGTTGGCAGATGTTGAAAGGCTTGAAAGGCTGAAAGGCGACCGGTTTCGGGCTTACAAATCGTCTCACGCGCAGTTTCCGAGCTTCGGGCGGAATGGAGCGATTTTAGCCATTTCGGGAAGTTGCCGCTACAGTGTCTGAGCCTTTTTACATATGGCACGTTGTCCGTCTGCACGTTTAAATTTATTGTCCATTCCATTAATGGTGGCAAGGGACAGGAATTTTGTGTCTTTGAAAGTGAAATGCCATAAATTCTTGTGTCTCGTTCAGCTGTGGCATTGTATTGGCACACCGCAAGCAAACAGAGCGATTTGCCTCTCCTCCGGATCTGCAATCCTCCGATCCGTTCAATCCTCTCTGGTCCCCACCCGTCCCGTACCGTCGCGGAATCCTTCCTGCGTCTCATCGCATCGCATCCCAACGAACTCAAATGCCCAGAAATTCCAGGAGCACGGATTCCGATACCTAGGTCGTGCGACATTTAACCGTGTTGCTGATCCGTTATTGCTTCATGATCATAAAAAGATGTTGCGAATATTTCACGCAGCCCACGGTTTAGACTTAGGTTCTTAAGGTGTTTTGGTCAGCCACTTAAGGTGAAATATATACAATGTATTCTAAAGGTTCTTATACAGGGGTGGTCAAAAGTATTTACACAAACTTATAAGCATCTTTTCATTTGATTTGTGTTAAAGGTGTATGCATTTGCATCTTAAGATGTGTTTTCAAATTTAGTAAATCTTAGAAAGTTGTATTCTTGCATCTGAACTTTTCAACTAGGCAAAGAAAAATGCTTACAAAAGTGTTTCTGAAAAGTATATACATTCTATAGAGCATTTTGGTGTATTCATGTTTTTAAGTTAATTCCCGAAAAAAAATTGTTAAATACAGTTTTTATATTGTGGCTTCTTATTTCAAAATATATAAATATTAGAGTTTTTGAAAATTTATAAAATCTTTAACAGCAAGTTCAAAATGATATATTTCAAAACTATTTTTAATAGAGTAGGTTGATATGATTAAAAAAATGAATAACTGCCCTCTATTTAAAATTAGTTAAACTTCGTTTCTATTTTTATAGATTTAAATCAACTTATTGCCAATTAAATTATAAATAAAATAAGTTTTTATACTTACATACTGAGTTTGAGATCATCCATTGAACATGTAAAATAAAAACAGAAAGCATAGTTAATAACATGAAGCTCAAGATAAGGCGCCAAAAGCACTCAGAAAAGCAGACACAAATTGAACTTGGCCAAGAGAACACAGTGGATCCTTTGACAGGATTTGGATAAGACGGGCACAAGTGCATTCTATAGTAAGTATATGTGCCATTTTCGCTTAACAAGTTAATAACACATCCGAGCAGCTTCAACGGCAATTACAACCCTTCATTTCATTTTTCTGGCAGATGGATATCGCGTCCTGCGACGTAACAGCGGCTAGTCATACCAGCTAGTGTCCTTGCTCCTGTTTCTGTTCCTGTGCCAAAATGCCCTAATGGTGCCAACTATGTAGCATGATAATGAGGGTCGTCGGGAGGACTGTGGTAGTTGAAGAACTGGAATGCGGGCTGTGAGCGATCAAGTAGTGGAGTGGAGTGGAGTGGAGTGGAGTGGATGTGTTCGTTTAGCGCCAAAAGTCGAGCGCCTGCTTTTCCGACGTGCCGTCGCCCGAAGGCGTTTTGATCGAAATTCGATATTGCGCTGATAAAAAGCGGGAATGGGAACGGGAATGGGAATCGCTTGACGGACCCCGCAAACGAGACCGCTGTAACCCAGAAGCTGTCATTTTGATGAATCGCCAGGACACGAATACTGTCATGTTTAACATGGCTGCTCTGGTTATAATTAAGACTCGCTGCCCTGTTCTTTTGCCATAATTGCACTTGGATCGGAGTAACCGATCGGTGGGCAGCACATTGCTCTGGAGATTACTCGCAAATTAATTTATCATTAAAGGTGCACACTCTCACCATTTTCGACTGTCAGTCCCAAGTGCTCAAAGACCAATCTCGAAATAATTACTAACAGAGTCATGTTTCTAGGCTGCCGACCATCTCATTAACGAGAGTTTAATTTGTGTTTGTTTTTCCGAGTTGGTTACATTTCAGAGTGGTCATGTTCATACTTACGCCCTGTTTTCGTTTCCGATATGCGAATGCCGGTACATGGTTGTAAATTACCGAAAAAGAAAGAATTAGAACAGAAATAGTAATTAAAAAAGAATGTGTTTAGACGTTGACATATAATTTTACGTAATATACAATACAATACACAATTTGATCTAAATAAGATAGAAATAAAAACTCAAACACTTGTACCCATTAATTTGATATAAAACAAATTTGTTTTCAATAAAAATAAAGAGTATATTAAATGTTTATGGAAATAGATTTTTAAAAAATAAAAATAGTTATTTTATTGATTGAAATTTAAGTACTTTTCAAGTAAAATTTAATTTCATCCTTAGCTAAAAAAAATTGTTTTATTTTGTACTTAGCACTTACTTTTTAAATAATGAAAATTAAATTAAATTAAATTTCACGAATTTGGCGTTAAAAAGTGAAACATTAAAAATGTACTTTTATAAAAGTTAGCATTAAATAAATAATAATATCGAAATCGTGTGGCCTATTGAATGATTTTAATCAGCATGGAAATAATTTGACCCCAGGTATTCAAGGCTCCAATTATGCTATCTAGCTGGGCTATCATAGGCGAAAGGTGTGCTAGTTCCCAGAGTGGTCAAAAACATGGAACCAATGTTTTGGGACATAATTGTGAAATAAAAACAATTATATTCTATTTATGCCTGTCCTGTCGTGATATATACATATATGAAAAAAAAAGTAATGGGACCTCCAAATCAATACCGAGCTGACCAAATCGACAACTAGGTCTAATTGCCACGCCATTCCGAACAGAATAGCTAACAATCCTTACAGGCAAACAACAATAATCACCCGGCCCGATAAAATAAAACAACAATAATAATGACAGCCAAAGTCTTCACAGCGTTTTTATCTACGGCAAACAATCTAAATGATATATTAAGCGCAAAGCAAATAACGCTCTTTTTGTCGTCACCATGTCCTTTCTCTTTCGCTCGTAAGTTAAGTTCTCCAATTATGCGGATTATTAATTTAACTGGGTCGCTACCGCAAAGAGACCCTCGTCCACTCCCCGATTCCATCCCTGTGTTTTTTGTTTGGTCCCTGGTCTTTGGGTTTGGTCACTGGTTACTGGCCACTGGTCCGTGGGCCGATCGCTGGCCACTTGTCGTTTCACAAGTTGTCAAAACTTGTCATTTAACCGACAATGAGCCTTGTTTGCTTTAATCGTGGTTATTATGCGTGCGGCTGACTTAGCCGCTCCCTCGGAATTATTAATGATGCGTCGTCCGCTTTGGCAGGTGCTTTGGCTCTTTCCTGGCCAGTGCCGCTGCCTCTGGGCCTGCTTATTGGCATCCTCGAGAGTGTCTCTAATTAGTGCACTCAATGAAAAAAAAACACTTAGAAAAACCCATTATCTAATCAATAAAAGTGCATTTAATTTTAGGTATTGGAAGTAAACCTAAAACATAAATTTTCTCAAACAATTTTATTTTTATAGCTGAATAAAAAAGGACTAAGTAGGCGAAATAATTTTTAACCTATCTTAAAGAATAATTAACATTTTTAAGAACAAGTTTTAAAAGTCCAAGTGTCTATCGATTTTTAGAAATATTGAACAATAAAACATTAAAATTCTCAGTTTTGAGAAAAAAAAATTGCTGATGTTAAACTTAATCAAGGTTTTAAGCTGAACGATTAGAACGATTAAAAAAATTGTTTTTTCTTGTGAAACTTTACCTTTCATTAGAAAACTCAAAAAGCTAATTTAGAAAAGACTTAAAATCTTTGTTTTTTCTAAAATTTCGAAGTCATTTTTCTCTGTGTATGCAGATGGGAGACGCATTTGACCTCTGCGTACGCACTTCCATTCGCTAAGCCAAATTAATTCGAAGTTGGATAATCCTGTTATTGCCGCATAGCTGCCATGATTTATATATCACACCGAGTGTCCGGTGGCCCGACTGTCCAATTAATTCTCACCAGACCTAATTTATTCGTAATATCCCAGTGAGCCGGGCATGCAAACGGACCCTTCCTTTAATTGGTTTTATAACAGCAGGGTGGCTCATTTGTCAATGTGGCAATCAATAAATTCGCGAACAGGTGGAAACTCATAACTGCGACCGGGCTTAGGTTCTCTTTTTTTTTTTTTTTTTTTTTTTGTTTTTTTATTTTGTTTTATATTGTTTTTATCATCCAGTCGCACAGTAGTCGCTGCGATGAGGGTTCCCTCCTCGTCGAGGAATGACGATCCTCGTCGCCTGGCGAGGCGAACAGGTGATCGCAGCAGCAGAGTGCTGTTTTGTTATTAAGTTGTTAAGCTAAATTATTGTTTTTCCCGTTTTTTATGTATTTATTGTGCTCACCACCACGCCATTGGCGACATTTAACAGCTCGTGCATTTATATTGTCCGACACACAAGACCTATTAACAACATAACAAGCACGCGTATACAATAATATCTAAATGTTAACACAAATGGCTACATTGTAGTAGCTTATTCACTAAATGATTTTCAAGTTTTCCGACGCGCAGATTTTATTCTGAATGAAAAGAATGACTAGCTTTTCAATTTTTGTTTCCAAGGGAAAATCATTTTGTTAAAATTAATAAAGTCAGGTAAACAAAGTCGACTCGCTAAACCGTCAGCTTAAGATTTTTGTTTACAGGGTCCTTTAATAATTTATGGCAAAGGCCCTTTGAAATTTATGCACATTTAGTGTGTAAACTTTTTGGGGTAACCATGATGCATTTACACGAAAAAGGAAAGATAATTGCAAAATATACCTTTATAATAAGTGGCAATGAGAGCTCACCCTTGTGGTAAAAATAACATTTTTTGCAGATAATGAATTTCGATTAAAACAGGTTTATTTCTGGCCAAATGAAAAGTCCTTGACGTTAAGTAAAAAAGTAACGTGTCAATGGTTTTGTTTTATAACGTGAAAACGGTTTGTATGTGTAATCATTTGCATTAAATTGGTGAATGGAATTATTGCATTTATAATGGTAGTTTTATGTACCAGAGGTGTTTTGAAATTGTCATAAACTTACCGTTGCTGGACACTGAAAATAAAGAAAAGAATGGTTATTATTAAAGTTATATTTTTTATTTAATAAAAATAATTGTTTAGTATAGTGTAATACGTAATAAGGATAAGCAAAATTATGTTAAGAACTTTTAAATGTTTTCGGAATTCTGTTCTTCTCAAGATCTTTGCTCTTTACGATCTATAATCGCCATAGGTACAATTAAGATGTGAATCGAGTAAGGCAACCGTTCTCATTTTTTCCCTGCTGAGCGGTAAAGCCTGTGAAATGAAGAACATAATTAAATACGTAATGCCCGTATGAAATCAGTTCAAGTTCGGATCGATAGCTGATTTAATTGTTTGACTAATTGAGAGATTTTTTACTGCCCCGCTTGGCGAACCCCCAAGACGCGCATCGCAACTACGAGGCAGCCGCAGCATTATTTGCTCCATTTGGCACTCGGTTAACTTAATGACTTGATTTTCCAGACTGATGAGGTGCGGCTGATTAGCAAGCACTGGGGGACACAAACAGGACAGGAGCCGGGAAGCCAGATCACAGGGCCACAGACAGCGGTGTACGTGCAGCAACGTGGCCAACATCCTGGCCATCGTCAGATCGGCGACAATGACTCGCCATATATGCACCATGGCTGGGCAAAAACAAAAAACAAAAAAAATGGAAAACCTTAAATTTCATGCAGAATTAATTAACCGCGGTGGCTACTGCAGGCGCTCATTTCGTGTCGCCGCCGCCCAAGTAGCATAGTACTTTTTGTGGCTCCATCTTCGACTCGGACTTGGACTCTCCAACTCCAACTCCAGCACCAGCTCCAGCTTCGACTCCCAGTCCGATATTTGATGACCGGGCAGACAACGCTGGAACACACAGAAACGCTCGACGAGAGCGGTCTGGAATTTCATTGAGAAACGTGCCCTGTACGCTGAGGTCGTGTCCCCGTCGCTTTGTCATGAGCATCTCCGCTCGCTTGAGTTTGGGGGAGCACTCAGAAAAACACTGGTACGTGAACCTATTTTAAACTATAAGAAGAAAAAGCTAAAGTACACAGACCACTAAAAGAAATTATCTATATATATTGATTTTAATTGACTATCCTAGAAGAATATATTATATATATTATATTATATATCCTAGAAGAATATATTATATTCTTTGTTTTCACTAAAAACTATTTTTCAAGCAGGAGAGTGGCTAAGAACTACTTTTAAACCATGAAACAATTTACAAATAGTAAGCAATTCATCTTTTTCACAAATATATTTAATAAGTTTATTAAATAATATTATTTTTATATCTATTAAAAGCTTTGCACTTTTTTACAAGAATCTACTTTGTAAAAAACATTATATACAAATTAGTCTGAATGATAAGTTAATTGAATTGTTTTTTTCGAGTGCATGTCTGTATGCATATGCCGGCTGCTTGTTTGCCTGAGAATCTATGTTGTGGCGCCATTAGCTGCCCCGTGTCGCAATTTAATTACAAGCTCTGTCCAACCGGGGGACATCGGTGAGATTTATGCAAAGAATATGGACTAAGCGAGCAACTACGCATCGGGAATATCGGCATCGGATGGAGGAGATAGAAGAGTTGGAACAGGAACAGGAGCAGGAGCAGGAATATCACATTGCTGACATCACGATGCGATGCAGTTGCATTTCCCCGGGGATCCGTCGCTTTTTTGATGCACAACTCAATTTGGCCAGCGGATCGGCGATGACGTGCGCAGTTAGGCCTTAATGCGGGTTGCAGGTTGCATTCTGCCAAAGGGCCAAAACGACGAGTGGCCTATTCAAAGATATTAAGGCGAAAGCACTTGTTGCCATCAGGCCAGAGAGCTTCTTTAAAATCGAATCACGTCCGCCCAATTTTTGGCCGACTCGGGGCAACTGCAAAACCGATGAGTCGCAGCCGAAGACACTGTCTTGGAAAATTTTAACTCCCTTGTAGGCGATTAAGTTAAATGCCACTAAACTAATTTAATAGCGATTCTGAGTGCATTCAGAGGGGGGCAGGAGTCCCTATGCCAGGGAAGAACCCTTTTGACTTTCAGGAAACTTGCACCACATTTTCGCTGTTAAACATCGTGTCCCGTCCCTCTTGTCACGTACGCCGCCTCAGTAAAATAAATACACTCGACGCCGGGCAGATTGCTTTTCTATATGGAATTTAATTTGCGCTGACCCAAACATGTAATAACAATGCAATTTCAAGCGCAATTTTCCATCGCTCAGCCCCAAGTAAATCAAAGTGAGTATTTAATAAAGCGCTGACCATTTTCTCAGGCATTCCTTTATTTCCCGGCGACGACAGGACAGTACCGGACAGTACAGGGCTGTAGCTCTGCCATTGTAGATGCAGATACAACTGCAGATGCAGATGGAGATGCAGATGAAGATACAAATACAGATACGAATACAGCTAACCGGACATGCACGTCTCGTTATGCAAAATGCCAGCAATCCAGGGCAGTTAAACTTAAGTTTATGGTGCCTATGATCGGGATGGATGGCGCTTAGCGGGGGCAACCTGTTGCGACTTTGGGGGCGCCCCGTGGATCTGGGCATCGTAAACCCGAGACACACATTCGGGATGATTAATTTAAGCACTTTTACGAGGCCGCTTCATGGCGCTCCTGATTTATTGGCGGCCAGTGGGAAGACGCTGCTTTACGATTGGCCTCAAATGGGCTCGAATAAAATCGCGGGATGCTAAATACTCCCATTCGGTAATCGCTGCAGATACAGATATATGTGTATATCCCATGCCCCTTTGCCTATTGGTTCGATTCCACATCGATGACTTGCGGCTGGACCTTCTAATTCCGATTCCGATTGCCGGGCGATCGCGATGGCTGCACTCGAACATGGCCAATGAGGAGAGGAGTTGGCCCGAGTTTTCGTGTCTGGCAGCTGGCGCATGTTGCCATCAGACGCATTTACTATTTTGCATAAATCATAATGTAATCTGCATCTGGAAATGAAAACAAACCGATGCGATGCGAGGCGAGGCGAAGCCAAGTCAAGCGAAAATGTCCAAGCGTTTATAATTAACTGCGCGGCCAGAAACCGAAGACATTTGCAGGCGACATGCCGGGCCCAGTTGCAGGACTCTCGGTTCTGATCCAGCCAAAAACTCGTACAACCAGCATAAGACCGAGCATAATCGCGAGTTCCTCAATGAAGCCTGCAGCTCCCCAGCATCCGACAATGCCGGCAACAACCGCAGATACTCCTACAGCCACATCAGCAATGTGTTTGCACTCGGAAAAAAAGGATCTTCAAAGGGTGTCAAATATACTACAATTTATAACTCTAAAAACGTTTAATTTAATTAATTTGTTTTAATATTTTAAAATTTTTTCAAGTTTAAAATTTTTTAGGTTTTTACAAAACTTCTATACTTCAAATTAAAATGTAGTAGCGCACTTCGCAAATTTATTTTTTTTGTGTTTGTTTTTTCTCAGTTTTTTCTACAAATTTGTTAATGGCTTTAATGAGGTGCTTAACAATGACTCAATAATTTCATAATTGTCAGCAATTCATCCTGTTAGTTCTTGGCTTAAATATTAAGTTCTTAATTTTTTCGAGTGCGTAGGTTTCGGCACAGGCGGTCAGAGATTTGCGCCGAAGAGGAGCAGGCCCTGAAGATGGGGGCGACGATGGAGATCGAGTCGAAGCTGGAGCTGGAGTCGACTACGCAGGCAAATGAATAACCCTCACCTCATGCGCAATCGCGAAATCTACGCAGCGCGCGGTCATCGGGCGCCTGCCAAAACTACGGAAAATAATTTATGCCCCAGTCGACGGACCGCGGCAACACATTGGCGCAACATGCTCCGCGGAGGCAAAATAAAAGGCAAAGGCACCAGGCAGCAAACAGCAAACAACATACAGCATATAGCATACAGCAAACAGCGAACCAAGATCAGCGGGTCGGATGTTAGCCGCAGCCAGCAACGGCCAAAATTATAAATTAATGAAATTTATGCACAATAAAATTGCAAGCGAAATTATTGATGCAGTCGTTCACGCTTTAAATGCTCCCTAAATCAAAAAACGCCTCAAAAATTATTAATATGGCCGGTGAACATGCAGCCAGACAATCAGATGGCGCTAGGCAGTCACAAAAAAAAAAATCCAGAAAAAAATAACAAAACAATTCTGAATGTTTGTGGCTATGTACAATCGTACAGGCAGAAATGTACACAGGTATAAGCGCCGGATATGTTAATCGGTAAAACATGCACCTCCTGCCTCCTGCCAACATTACCCTGCCGTTTTGGCCGATTTGTGGCGGGGTCTATCTTGTATTTTCCTATCGAGAACACGGCGATAGTGGGGCTCTAAATTGGAGGTGCACTTATGCTTTGAAGATTACATAAGAAGTCTGGGTTTTGCATAGATGTTAGGAAAGGACATGGTCATTCATAATTGATGGCAAATCGTTTTATTTTTACTGTAAATATTTGTAGAAGCCTTTTTTAGATTTGAATTACATTTTTGCATGTTTTGCCTAGAATGTGATATGACAACTTAAAAATTTTTATTTGCATTTATTAATATATGCATTATCACTTCATATGAGTGAGCCACTTATAGACAGCATTGCATACAAACTAATAATATTTCTAATTTTTTTTTGTATATACATTTCTTGTAATTATTTATTACAAACCGTTTGCATACCCAATCTGTTTATTCATATTTTATATTACATGTGCTAAGGAAATCTTTTTAGAAAGACAAACCAATCTTGAATAATAAACTTTAATATCCCATAAACCTTCCCAGAAATCTGCAACAGATAAATGCGCATTAAAAACTTAATGTTTTCATTTTGTACCCAAAATGTAAATTAGACCCACTACTGACTGCATCATAAAATAAATTGTCAAATTACAGACACCAGATAGATTTCACGCCGCATTTTAAATTTAACCCATGGGCTTTTTGGACTTACAGATAAAAATTTTATTTAACAGCTTTATCTTATCGCGGGTTTTTTAGGTT